CGATTCTTTCTTTCCTCTGATAAACAAATCGCCTCCTTTTAAATCTATCAGAAGAAGCACATGCGCTCCGTGCTCAGGAGGCCAATCTTCCCTCGAGTATCCAGTCTCTCCAGACCGAGCAATATTTTCAGTCAAAGCTTTGGCATCGCAATGGTCCGAAGTGATCCATTCCAGCCCGCAAAGAGGGTTGCAAGCCAGAAGCAGGATGTCTGGTGAGTTTACCGATATCTTGTTAAGCGTTGCAACGGGTGTCAAACATGTCTATCGAAAAGAACGCGGATTTACCTTACGCGCGGAGAAGATTTGAAGAGTGCCAATGCGTTATCGTAGGACCATTGTCAACGAGGCCGCAACGGCATCGCCGGTACAGCCCATCATAAATATGGGCCAAGGCTTCTTGTAAGTATTGGCACTATATCCGGTTGGGCAAGCCTTTGTATTGACTACTTGGAGTGGCTACAACCCTCCCCAATTTGTCACTGATGCCGCAAAAGAAGCATTGGACAGGGTTGAGTGCAATCAATACTCTCCTACGAAGGTGCGTATGAATCACAGGGTGATATACTGCCTGCTGAGTAAACGCTAGGGTCGGCCGCGATTAAAGAAGGCAATAGCAGATGCGTATTCGCCCTTCTTCGGCAAGAAGATAAATCCAGACACGGAAGTCACTATCACTACTGGAGCCAATGAAGGTATCCTTAGTGCTTTCATGGGCTTTGTCGAGCCAGGAGATGAAGTCATTATATTTGAGCCTTTCTTCGATCAGTATGCATTACCCCCATCAACCTGTCCTCAGGACTGAAGTCTTGTAGATATATCCCCAACATCGAGATGGCCGGCGGCAAAGTGGTCTACGCGTCTCTTCAACCACCAAAGGAAGGAGCTACCAAGACAACCTCCGCTTCCGAATGGGCGATTGACTTTTCCGAATTGGAAAAGTCCATCAACGACAAAACCCGCATGATCGTTCTGAATTCTCCACACAATCCTATCGGAAAGGTCTTTTCAAAAAAAGAACTTGAGCACATAGGCACCCTTTGCGTTAGACACAACATCATCATCCTCTCCGACGAAGTCTATGACCGACTTTACTACGTTCCTTTCACCCGCGTCGCCACGCTTTCACCAGAAATCGCTAAGCTGACCTTGACTGTTGGCTCAGCTGGCAAGAACTTCTATGCCACAGGGTGGCGTGTAGGGTGGCTTATTGGGCCAGAGCATTTGATCAAGTACGTCTCTGCCGCGCATACGAGGATATGCTATAGCAGTGTGAGTCCTCTACAAGAGGCCGCAGCTGTCGGGTTTGAAAGAGCGGACGAATTAGGCTTCTGGGAGCAGAGTAAGCGCGAGATGAAGTCTAAAATAAGCCGCTTCTGCGAAGTGTTCGACGAGCTGGGCCTGCCATATTCTGAACCCGAAGGCGGATACTTTGTGCTCGCCAACTTAAGCAAGGTGAAATTGCCAGAGGGTTATGATTTTCCGCCGCATGTAGCGGAGCGACCAAGGGACTTCAAGCTGAGTTGGTTTTGCATTATGGAGCTCGGTGTTGCTGCCATTCCGCCGACGGAGTTTTACACAGATGAGAACGCGCACTTGGTTGAGGACTGGTTGCGCTTCGCGGTCTGCAAGGATGATGAGGTGTTGGATGGGGCGAAAGAGCGATTGAGGGGTCTGAAAAAGTATATGGCGTGATGTCAACGGAAACGAATTCGATAAATCGTGTGATGATACGACGAGGCCATGTAGACAGGGTGTCAGCGAGCACTTAGATCTCTTAGACAATTTCCTCAAACCTCAGCAGCGACCATTGGCCCAACGTCGCCCTCCTTCGTTCTTCCCAAGCCATCTTTAGCGTAGAAGTCCATAGGATAAACGCCTTGATTACCATGGCCCCAATCCTCCCTTGCCTCCAAAGCAACGAGTGCTTCGTAAGGCGTGAGCAACGGCTTGGGGAAAGCGTAGCCCCAGTCAATGCTCAGTCTGGGGCAAGCTATTTGCACCCAGCAATCGACATCGTTCATCATTGCCAGCTTCCCTGGGAAGATTTCGCTCAGCAGCAGGTTTATAAATGGAATTCCACGCTCATCAAGGGTATGTTCGATCATAGTCATAGTGTGGGGATTTCCTTGACGACCGAGAGAGCCGAGTATGAGACCCCATTGCTTGGCCTTTTTGGCCGACTTGATGGCTTGTCGGCGTAGATCATGCATCTCCTCATGATCGTACGTTTCGCGAGTGAGCTTTCGTGAATAAGGATCATAGCGATAGGCGGGTAACGAGGGGTTGTGAATCATGGCAGACTCGAGATGGAAGCGGCCATCTCCCAGGTAGACGATGAGGTCCGCTTGATCGGTCGAAAGACGTGGCGAAGTGCAGCCAAGAATCTCGCCTCTGCTGAGTGGCGTAATTTGTGGAATCGAGACCTTAAAGCCGGCGCGCTCGAGGACGGGCTTCACAGTGTGAAGAGTGGCATTGAATTGGATAGTCCCTACCATGGCGATGGTCTTGCCCGGCTGAAAATTCCGCTCTAGGGTCGCTAAGAGATGGGATGTGTCTATGCTTATATCAACAAAGACGTAGAGAGTCTTGATCTTTGTGACGTCCACTGGTATGAGACAGCTATGCGCGTAGTGTATCAGAATATCACATCCAAGGGCTCGAGCAGTATAGTCGTCTATGCAACATGCTCCATACGTCACATCGCCCATGATGAGCGTTTCGGTCCCTGGGCAGAATCGGGTAAGGATGTCTGAGATGGTGGTAGCGAATAGCAGTAGGCCTTCTGGAAATTGTAAGGCTATCTTCTTGGAACCAGATGTGCGTATTCGATGTATTGTCTTGTGTATTTCGAAGGAGTAATTCGGAGGTAGAAGAGATATGGCATCGTTGATTTCTAGATCGTTGAGTATTTCTGAAGGAACTTGGTTGAGCGCTCTGGCCGTCTTTCTTGGTTGTGCGACTGCAGAGTGTCAGTTATCCGTTCGCAGACTTCCGACGCTCTTTGCGCACCCTGAATAGCCCCACTGTCTTCGATAGTCCCATTCGCATCGCCCCTCTTCTCCGCTCGTTCTGCTGCTTCTTTTCTCCCAATGAACCTTTTCCTTGGATATTTCTGCTTTTCCTGCTTCTCTGCACCAAGCTCAGCATCTATCGCCTCGCCGAGGTCGGCCTGGGCCCGATCGTCTTCCATGTTGGCAATTATATATTCCAGAAGTGTTTTGTTCCCTCGAATTGTTACAAATCGGGTTGGAATTTTTATTCTCCGGGTAGTGACCGTGAATTCCAAGTCGCCCCGCAACTCCGGCGAACTCGAGGACGCCGACAACTACGCTTTGGCCCCTTTCGCGGTGGTAAGCTTTTACTATGCTTCATACTGGGCCCATCACCGGGCTCGGAAGGCGATTGGGATGTCGGTGTGCCTGCCGAGTCTTCTCCACGAGCATGCAGCGAAGAACAGGAGAGGTACGAATAGTGGAGGTCGGTCCACGCGACGGATTACAAAATGAATCGACGTCCATACCATTGGAGACTAAGATTGAGCTCATACGGCGTCTAGCTCAGACTGGTGTAAGGGATATCGAGGCTGGATCCTTTGTTGCACCAAAATGGGTGCCTCAGGTACTCCAAAACTACAACCGCTGTTCAATATGCAATTGCTGATACGGTATTGCGACTGTAACTAGATGGCAAACTCATCAGAAGTCCTCAATTACCTCCTTGGCCACCCTCCTGCTGCACCAGCCCCGATTGCGTTCAACTTCCTTGTCCCCAATCTCAAAGGCCTCCAGAACTTCCTTAAGGTCTCGGACGCCGACAATGCTCCCATCACCTCATCTGAAGACCCGAACAAGATGCCTACAACACCTCCGTTACTAAAGCCAGATGAGAACGGAGAGACAGGGGAGCAGGGGCCGATGATATCAACCGAAGATCCAAATAAGATGTCTTCAGACACATCAGGCAAGGACAATTCGGTACAGCCCAACAAATCGTCTGCGTTCTCCAACTCAATGGAGGTATCTCTATTCACGGCAGCGACAGAAGAATTCTCCAAAAAAAACACCAATTGCACGATCGCAGAATCACTGGAACGATGTAGGCCGATTGTGTCCCTTGCAAAGTCGCGGAACATCCGAGTGCGTGGCTACGTATCGGTAGCGCTTGGCTGTCCGTATGAAGGCCCTGACGTTCCTCCGGCGAAGGTGGCAGAAATTACTGCAACTTTGCTGGAAATGGGCGCAGATGAGGTCTCTGTAGCAGACACCACTGGCATGGGCACAGCACCGAAGACCCAAGAGCTCCTCAAAGCCCTGTTCGGAGCTGGGATATCCGCCAAGGACTTAGCATTGCATTTCCACGACACGTACGGACAGGCCCTTGTCAATGCTGTGGTGGGGTTAGAGCAGGGCATCAGGACGTTCGATAGCAGTGTCGGTGGGCTAGGCGGTTGTCCATACTCGAAAGGCGCTACTGGGAACGTTGCAACAGAAGACCTCCTCCATTGCTTGCATAGCCTTGGCGCGATCACGGGAGTAGACGTTGAGAAGGTGGCAGAGATTGGCGATTGGATATCCAAAGAACTCGGCAGACCCAACGATAGCCGAGCAGGGAAGGCTTATCTGGCAAGGTTATCTTCGTAGTGAGAAGCTGTCTCTTCTGGATGAGAACCGTGCCTTGGGCGATATGCTAGGATGCTCAGGCAGGATCCCTGGATCAAGCCTTTGAAGTCTCGAAGCAGGCGGGCAATTGGCCAAAGCTCTGAAGGCCAACCGTGGTCGTTGGCTGTCACCGCATTGCCGGTGGGAGACTGAATCCAAGAACTTTTCCAAGGTTCGGGTTCGATCAAGCCAGCGAACTCGGTTAGGAAGGGGCAGACGCCCGCCCGTCAGGCTGTGGAAGCATCTGGGGCCGAGAAATTGGTAGCTTGTAGGTCCGGGATACCCCATTCAACGCTGGAATCGCGGCTTGACTCGCGTAAAAGTATCGCTGCTCGTGGTATCTCAGTCTTTCGCAGTGTCAACCACAACATACCGCCCCAATCTCTGTGGAGCCTGAGCCAGCAGATCCAAACCTTCACCCCCCTCTCTGCCACTCTCCCCCTTCGCCTCTGCAGCCTTCCTTCTCACAATCCTTCCCCTCATCCCCACCACCTCTTCCTTCTCCAACTCCCCCCTCATTTCCTCCAACCCAATCGTTCTCTCCCTTTCGCCTTCCTCAGTCTCATCCCGTAGCGCAACCAATGGCTCCACGCCCTCCGTATCGACTTCTTGTATGGCTTTCACGAACTGGAGTTGCGATTGGAGATCGGATATCATGCGGCTTTCCTCAGCTATGGACGTGGGGAGAGGGAGGGCGGAGAGGCGGAGCAGGTGGTGCAGTTGTTTCTGGGTGATCTGTGGCGTAGGGGTGGTGGCTGAGTTTGGAGGAGTGAAAAGCGTTTTTACGGACCATGAGGGTTTGGCAAGGAGAGCTTCAAGGTCATCTGAGGGCTTGGTGGTTGAGGAGAGCGTTCGTATTGCGAATGCATTGGATTGTACTTTGCTGCAAAGAATGTTTCTGAGCCAATGCTGGGAAATCATTGCACAGGTATCTCTGAGGGACAATTTGGTCGCTGGTTGCAATGCAAAATCTGTAGGGCCGAGGTTTTAGCGCGCTATCGGCGGGATATTCCCGGTTCTTGGCGCCAGGAGCAATTGGCCGCGAAGAATTGAAACCGGCAACAGATATTTCTCTTGACGCTAGTATATTACGAATATGCAGCAACGCAGCACTTCCACTATATCTCACCTAGAAGCCAACGTAAGGCCGGCATATCAGATCTACCGAGCCATCCAGGTTCACATACTGACGCAAACTATGCATCCCCGACCTCAAGGAACAGATTATAAAACCCCCCCGTCCCAGAATCCCCCGTCCGAAAAGCCGTCACGGCCGTCACCTTCTTCCTCCCCAGCCTATCCTGATGATTGACCAAGAACCACGCGACCCCATACCCATGCGCCGTGCCCAGCAGCGCCTTCCCCCGCTCCGTATCCGTGCCGAACCTCACCCCGGGCCAGGGACTCAGCTTGCCCGCTCCGCCGACGGCTTCGTCGATGACGCCCACGGTCGGAGAGTCGGTCCTGATGTGGTGTCTGAAGAAGCATCGGATGTTCTTCACGGCGTCGGGCTCGTCGCGGCAGAGGTCGGCCCAGACGAGGTAGACGACGTCGGACCATCTGTTGAGGGCGGGGTGGACGGTCCCGGGGCCCTTGTGCGTCCTTTGGGGGCTGGAGTTGAATTCGGCGATGATGAGGCCGTGGGTGGGGTTGTAGTATTGCTGGTATTGCGCGTAGGTAGGTGGCTAGATAGGGGGTATGTTAGCATTTGCTTAGACCAAGATTTTCTGTCTCATGACTTACATGTTCAATGTTCGATCCAGGGAGTTTGAAATCGTCTTGTTGCATCATGTTCACTGTGAAACCTCATTTAGCATATGTATGAATGAATCGTGTTGCATGGCGCATCGTGCCAAATAGCCAGACGATGGTGCGATGGGAAGAGAAGAGACAAAGCTTACCATAGGTGCCCTCCGCCGCCCCCAACGCGGTCAGCGCAGGTTCGAGATCCGTATCCGTCGCCCCGTCAGTGGGAAAACTGCTCCAGCCACTATCCGCGAGGTCTGCGTAGGACCGAAACTCGCTCTGCGGACCACCGTCGGTCATTTGACGAAGCAAAGCCGAGCCACCTTGGACGGCCTGAGTCCATGACATGGCAACGTCGGAGGATCTCTTGGGAAGCTGTGTGGGTGTGCCAACGGGTACGGATCGCTTGCTGACGGCATTGTGATTTTGGTTGATGGATCCTATGGCTGGATGTGCTACGCGTGTAGCACTGGTAGCGATTGTGGATGATGAAATAGAGAGGAAAGAAAACACATAGAGAGAGACCTCAAGGGCATTTACTTTGGTCCTTGAAAGAAATGGGGGGGTAGGAAGTAGCGACGAGGCAGCAGTGAGTCACGAATGAAGAGCATATGGAAGTGAAGACTCAACTTGATGAGTAAAACGGCGCAAATGTTCACACGTCGCCTCACCTCGGGCTTTTCACAATTTCATCTTGCTCCTTGGCGTTTGAGCTCGCGACAAGGCTCCTCAAGAGTGTATCTAGGGCGAGATGAGCGAAGTTCGAGGACCGCCGTTGCTTCAATTCGAGAAAAAGCATCTCTTGTCGGTGGAAGATCGAATGTCTTTTAATTCTGAGTGAGCGTATGATGCAAACGCACAGTTCATCAACTTCAGCCCGAGCCTCTATAGTCTAATCTGGAAGCCCCAACATATCCTTTTTCCAACACCTGCCCGCATCCCCAACAACCGACCTTCCCTGTCAGTCTTTACTCAGCCAGCTACTTCCCATACTTGACTCCTCCTGCAGAGTATTCATCGTCCTTGCTGACCCTGCCATCTCTCTTCGCCATTGGGCCCCTGAATCCAGCGTAGGCAGCACTCGGCACCTTCCTATGATGGCGCGGCCTTCCCGTCCCACTAGGAATCCATCCTGTTCCCGAAGGAAGCCATACTCCAGTAGCAGTAGGCATCGGTCCCTCAGTATGGTTGTGGTGATGGAGATAATGGGTACTGTTCCATGGCTGGCGGTAGACGACAACCTCATCGCCATCGACGACAACTTTTTCTAACATCTTGCCCCCGTCCATGGTCTCATTCGCAGGGCTATAGTTCGTCCCGTTGGGGTAGTGCGTGCCATTGTAGACGACGATGTGCTCGCCATGAGCATTGAACTCGGCTAAAATGCCATCTTTTCTATCTTCGTGATGCGTGCCATTCCGATTGTGGTCGCGTGTGCCATTGTGGTGGCGATGGTGTTCCATTTTTTCGTCCTCTTCCATCATATGATGCATTTCGCGAGACTCGTCATGAGAAATTTTCGAGGCTCCGTCGATAAGCCTAGGGTCAAACCCCTCTGAGCCATTGTCCGCAGGAGACGAAGACGAGGAAGAGTCTGCAGGGGAGTGGTGGTTAGCAGGATTCACACGGGAGAGACCGACGTCGATGAATTCGCCAGGATTGGAGGCTGGACCTTGAGGGCTGCGGGCTGAGAGGTCGCGTTTGAGATTCAAGGAAACGCCGAGCGATGGGTCATCGGTCAGGGAGGCAGCGGCCTCCGGGAGTGTTTCACGTTTGCTGCCTTGGATTTCTGGTTCGGAGGGTCCAGGTTGGGGAGAGCGAGGGACGAGGTTGCCTGAGGTGTCTCGTTTGAGAGAGCTAGAGGTGCTTTCGAGCTCAGAGCCAATGAGCTGGGGGACAGCGGCGGCACGAATGCTAGGGAGGAGGAAGAGCAGAGAGAGGGCTGCCGAGGACTTCATGGCTGCACGATCAGACGGTGTATTGCAAATATACCAGATGCAAAAAGAGAGACCGTTCAGAAAAGATCAAACGAAAGTTTTTGGATAAAGTGCAGAAAAGACTGTCGGTCATATGCAGGCCAAAAGATGTGCTAAGGCATTCGAGGTTATATAGATCATTGCATAGCCTATCGTCTATCGCTTCTTCGCGTTTACAGTCAAACGGCAGAGGCTGACGCAAGCTCAGTCTCCGAGACAGTGGTATGCGTCGTATGCGATGCCTAGGATTTCACATACATAATATTTGCGCAACTTTGGACAAATGAAAGATGGCAGTGATGAACGTGCGCTGCAAACGAAACAGCAATGGTATCAGACCAATTGTCTGAGGAGACCGTAGACATCAGAACAGGCCCAAATGTAATAGATGCGCCAAACATTGCACCACAACAGAGCGTTAAAGATATCTTGGGTTGGAGAGATACAGTCCATTTGCAAGTCCTCATATAGGGCTCAGGCCATCAATACGGCCTTCGATGGAGCATGATTGATTCAGGTACCAGAAATAGGCTCCGTTGCGACCACGTATAACGTAACGGCTGCGGCCATCTTCCGGGTCTACTGCTGGCGATAGGAGAGTTTCAGAAGATGCGAATGAAACGTTCAGGCGTCGAAGCGATTTCGTAGCCGCTAGGCCAGGAAAGGACATTCCGACGTTTGCCCATGGCTCAGTGCGACGAAGAGATTGAATGAGACAAGGCAATGTGGATTTAGTTGGGCATCACCGACCGGAATGATGGTTTATAGAGCCTGGAAGTTGGTGGGCAGTAAGGAATCTATTGAAGGCTTTCCTCGCCCGGACATGATATCAAGACTGCAGTGAATGACGTGGAGACGCCACATTGAATAACCTCGAAAACGACTCGATTTCCCAAGCTCTGCTCCATCTCCTTCCACCGCTCAGACAATTCAGCAAAGAACTGTCTATCGACAACCACCATGGCGGACAAACCCTCCAAGAGCACGGATGGAGCAGCGAAGCAGCGCATCATCACCCACATGAACAACGATCACCAAGACTCCCTTATCCGCTACCTCCAGTACTACGCCCAGCTCTCCAGCTTCTCCGCTCGTAATGCCCATCTAGCCGACATCAGCTTCACCGACCTGACCATCCTCTCTTCCAGCGGCACACCTCATACCGTACCCATCAAGCCTGCCATGACATCCTGGTCGGAAGCTAGACCGCGAGTGGTAGCCATGGACGCTGAAGCGGTCGCCGGCCTGGGGGCTAGCAACATCACGGTGAAGAAGTACAAGCCACCGCGCGGCTTTATGACGGTCGTCTTCGTCGCCTGCGCGCTCACCCACATCTTCTTCTGCCGCCGCGCCAACTTCGAACCCGGCTCGATCCTCTACGATGCACTATTCAAGTACGTCCCGAGCTTGGCGAACTTCTGCCGGACCATTCAAGCACCGCTGTTTTGGTTCATGATCGTGGTGCATGGAGGGGAGGCAGTGTGGATGGCGAAGAGCAGGTTGGAGAAGCATACGGTTAGGATTTTCAGTAGGGTGTGGTGGATGTGGGTGTTGAGTTGCTATATGGAGGGGTTTGGGAGCTATGTACGGTTCGATGAGTGTGTGAGGGAGGAGCAGGAGAAGAGAGAGGGAATGAAGCATTGAGGAAGTGGCACGCACATATGGATTGAAGCAGCCGTAAAAGGAGATGGTCGCGCATGCACTATATTCTGTCCGAGAGAGACGACTTGATCAAAAATTTGCTGGAGACCTTTTCCCTGCCGCGTTGTGATTGGTGACATTAAGCGAGTGCTGAAGGGAATTGAGTTTCCAAGACGAGGAGGCTCAAGGCCAGCCAGCATCAAGCGAAAGGAGCAAAAAATCCAGTTGTGGTAGGAAATGAAAGCGACACCATTGGCTGACCGAGTGAAGAAGCCATTGATAAGTTTTTTGTGGTGGTGTGGGTGGGTGGGTGACGCTGCTCATGTTGAAAGAATTCACAAAAGAAAAAAAGACAAAAAAAAAAAAAAAAAAAAAAAAGGTAACAGTCGGGGTCGAACCGAGGAGCAAAAGGAAAATCACCCAGACTACAGGAGCTCCAGCTTTTATTAAAGACTGTGCATATTCATCTGGATGCAAACCCTCGAACCGACGTTAGTGGCAATGCTGTACTAGGCCAAAGCTGGACGAGTAAGGCCTCATCAGTTTTAACTTGGGTGTTCCAGTGTAAACCACTAGGCCATACTGCTCGATGGAAGAAAAGTTACTTAAATAATATATAACCTTAATTTAATAAAAATGGTCAACACGGCCAAGTATTAGCGGCACCATCAGCCAGTGGCCTCTTACGGATCCACGATTTACTAGTTCCTACAGTCTTCATTCGCGCTGGTCATGAAATTGAATTGATGCTGTCTGGCCATTCCTATGCATGGCTACCAATCGTTGGCCAAAGCGACACCACCCTGCTCCCAGTCCTCGTCTCCCAGCTCTTCCCCCTCCTCCGACCCCACATCCCCCTTGGCCTCCATTGTCTCTTCCGTCCCCCTGTCCCCCTTTGCCTTCCCGTCCTCCTCGTCTCCTCCTCCTCCTCCATACTCTGCTCTACTCGCCATCAGACTATCCTCACTTAGCTGCCTCAACTCCTCATGAGTCAATTTCCCAGCATCGACATCCTCCGCCGCCATTTGCAGCATGATCATCGCCGCAGAAGCATCCATCTCACGCAACGAGGGCTTTTTACTCTCGGGGACCTTTTTAGAGAAGAATTGTTGTAATTGCTCGGCGCCCTTGGCTGATAGGCCCCCGCGTCCGGGTCTCCCCAAGATGTGGTGGAGGCGGGCGGCACGTGAGTTACGTAGAGCAGCATCTGCGTTAGCACGTACCGCTGGAGCTGATCAGTTGGCTGGTACGCGTCCCACGAGGGGTGGACATACTGCTGGACTGGGCGCGCTTGAGCTTTCTAGCGGCCTTTTTTTGTTTGCGACGGGAGATGGTGTGGTTTTGCGTAGAGTTCATGATGGTAGGCTCCCGTAATCCTAGGCCGTTTCTTGGCTTGGAGTCTCGCAGTGATGCAGGATGAGCAATCTTGAGGATGAGGATAAGGTGAGAATGATCGGTCACGGACCGTGGTGTTGAGCGTGATTTGGGATTAAGTGCGGTCAATGGCGTAGAGTATTGAAGTCAGCATTGGGCGAAAAGCACTAGGAGATACGTATGGAGGGATGGCGTTGGTGAGGTTGGTAAAATGACGGGTGAACTGATGAGGCACGCCAAGCATGTATTGTGTTGAAGCACTCATTGAAGCTGCCGAACCATCTCTGATTCTCGGGCTTCCGCCGTTGAAACCTCTCACTGCTCCTTCCATTTGCTGAGAAATCTCCTGGCTGGCCCGCCTATCCCTCTAGATACTGCTCAACTATGATGGTCCGTTTCCCATCTTGTCTTACCAGAAATTGTCCCGGTGTCGTAATAGACAAGTGCAAACATCGCGTCACCGAGTACTATCATTGACTGCGCTTAACTCCTGAGCCACCTTTCGATTCGTCCCACAGCAGGGTCCTTGCCTAAGCTGCCCACCGCTGTATATGGCTCACCACCTGCACCTCCGCAACTCAAGTCATGTCGCCAGCTTTGATACCAAGCCACCCCAGAGCCTTGCACGATTTTCCCGATACAATCTTCTCCCCTATGTGGAATCGATACCTGACAGATATGCCCTACGAACCACCGAATCTATCATCTAAGACCTTGTATTCCAGGAAGAGCTTGTCATGGAAGCGGTGGGCATAGTCCCTCTTCTCCGAGACGCAAAGTGCAGAGCTCGAATATGAACGAGTAGCCAAACATGGTAAGGAGGGCTCGGGCGTCATTTGGGGTCCATGGCCTGCAAAACTGGGCGATGATGTAGTAGGAAGGAGTAGTAGGAAGGAGTAGTAGGAAGGAGTGCGGTTGAGATAGAACGGTGGTTTGATCCGCCGTAGAACTTGTCGTTGATGTAGGAGAGAAGGTATGTTGGAGCGAACGGCGAGAGGATCACGGCGCAACGCGGCTGATGTTCGTGCGAACTAGACAGGCATATTTCCACGATGTCCTAATTTTCATGATGACTTCCCTGGAGTACTGTATTGGTCGAGCGGAACCTCAGACCACTTGAACGTCTTCACTGGCTTACTGAATTGACCGGTTTGAACCTCAGACCACCTCTCCGTATCCTTGGGTACCGTGGTAGCTCCCCCAGCATTTGCTACAGCTTCCTCCGTCTTGCGAATCTGCTCTTCTGGCGAAGGGTCGTGCTGTTCTTTGAATTCGACGATTCTGCGAAGGAAATGTTGGTTTGTAGCCGGCAGATATGATTTGAGACTGGACTATACATACTGCTCCTGCTCTTTCTGCTCTTTCTCTTGCTTGAATGCTGGGTCAAATATTGCGATGCCTGGACAAAGGTCAGCTGGCAATTTTCGGGAACGGGTGGGGACCAGGTCTGCCTACCGGTGCCGACCCCAACTAATGTAACAAGCACCGGAGTCAAGAGGCCCCTTGCATAACTCATGCTGGTTCTGGGGAGTACTTGGCAATGACTTCGAGCTGAAGGTGTGGTTATGAAGACGTCGGTCGTCAAGGATGAAGAAGTACTAGCGGGAGCGGATGTTAAGTCGGAGCGCTAAGCCTATTTGAGGTTTTGATATCGTCAACCTTGAATCTCGGCCCCTCGGGGTGTGTCCTCAAAGCTCCACGTACATATTGGACGGCGCTCAGAACCTCAAATAGGCTTAGCGCCACACGCCGCCAAGCACTATACGATACGTCCTATCTGTCGTATTCAATTGATCAACTGTTTACGGCTTTCAGCACAGCGATGATGACTACTTGGTATGCATGTTCGAAGAATGATTGGAACATCGCCACTTGAACAGGGCATAGACCTCTAGGTAATGGATCGTCTCACAGAGTCCCAATCATCTCCTTCTCCTCTTCGTCCTCTTCTCCCCCTCATCAACCTCTACACTACCCACTACCTCCTCCCCTGCCAGCTCATCCGCCTCCTCATCTCCAGCCTCATCTCCGCCGCCCCGCAGCTTTCCAACGGTTCCCTTCCCATCGTCTTCAGCCGCCCTCTCTGCACTCCTCCAAGCACTCACACTCCTCTCAACCGTCTCAAACATTTCCCTCGTATCCTTCACAACACTCACGTCTTGCTTTCCCTTTATAACTTCTTCTGTTTCCTCTCGGTCTTCATCAAACGTAGCACCGAGTTCCGACGTACGCTGTCTAGTCCGGAAAGCAGGACCAAAGCCGCGTTTGGTTGGTAGATCAGGATTAAACATGATTGCATTTGCAAACATACGCATCAATTCCTTCTCCAGCTGCGCGGAGTTGACGATGCCTTTTGGTGGCATCACATCCGGGGACTCAGGTATCCAGACGCTAGACGAACCTTCTTGAGCAAGATCCTCAATGGCGGCGTTGGCTGCTTTGCTGCCGTTGCTTATAGCCTTTTTGATGGAATTTAAATCTTGAGGTCGGTAAATGAGGTCTTTGTAGCCTGGCGCCTCACGCTCAGTAAGGGGTTTGGCGAAGACATTAGCGACTTTGTGGTGAATGACATCGTTCATGACAGTCTGCGAGATACGGGCGAAGTTGCGGCTGGCGAGGACTTGGCCCGGTTTCGAGAATGAGTCAGGTGTAGGGGAAGGAGGTGGTAAAATGGCTGCCTCTTCACGTTTTCGCTTCGAGCTCGGCTTGCCGGTTTCGTTCACCTTTTCGAGACCACGAATAGTACCGCGGCGCTGTCTTGTGGATTTACGAGCTTCGTCGGCGGTTTGAGAGGCTACGGAGGCGTCATCATCATGGCCTGAAGCGACAGATGGTTCGGGTTTGATTTTGCGGGTTGACGTGGGCTGACTGTCCATTCCAAGTTCGTCGGCTTGAGAGACAATGGACTGACTTCGAGTACGAGCTCGAGTAGAGTCTGCAACTGTCGAGGATGCTACACTGCCTGCTCGGCCTCCACGACCTCTTCTTCCTGCACCCCGAGTGGGTTTGGCTCGTACCCGCTCGCTAGGCGAGTCGGTTGCAGCTTGCAGCTCCTTCTGGCTTTGAGCGCCCCGCGTTCGAGTCTGCGCAGCATCCGGTGAAGGCGATGGCTCTTTGTCACTGATTGGACTTATCTCTCTGGAAGAAGGTGCAACAGGTGATCCGACAGGTCGCACGGAACCAGGGGTATCGACATCTTTCCATTTTGTGGAAGATGTAGAGGTAACAATAGGCGTCGGTCTGGGCGGCCGCTGCCTACCGGATGCATTTGACAATGGCGTATGCTGATCAGCGAAACGAGATACATGATTACGAGGGTGAGGTGTCTGAATTGGTGTTGGTTGGTAGTATCCAGGACTTTGATTGTAATTAGGATGCTGTGGGTACTGTCCCACTGGAGGTTGGTAAGGTTGCGTGTTGCCGTAAGGTGACCCGTGCACAGCACTCGCAGCGTGACCTTGGTAAGGTAAACCTCCGTGTGGAAGATTATATGCAGGCAGGGGCCCTTGCCCGTAGGGTGGGTATGGCGGATGATAGGGTGCCTGGTTCTGATAGTACGGATAGTCAGTTGGCATGTAACCCCTCGGCGCGGGAAGCTGGTTAGGGTGCTGTTGTGGACCTGGGTGCTGAAGAGGCCGAGGGGATGGCATAGGAGGATTTGCTCGGTACTGTTGACCAGCCATATCTGCGAGAGCATCCAGAGGTCCAGTGGGTGATCCAGAAGAGCGGAGCATTCCCGGTGGTGGCGGTAGAACTCTACCGCCTATGAGGGGCGAGGCTGAGGAGCGCTCTGGTCCGGGAAATGGGGTTTGATTTAAGCGTGGACTTGGTGAAGGTGCGACGCCATTTGGTGGTTGATTCTGAGGGGGCAGTCTGCGGTTCATGTCCGAATTTGGTGAGCCTGATAGGTTCCCAAGGTTGAAGCTCTGTGGAGGCGGCAGAAACGGTGGTGGGTTCTTGTAGTCATTTGGCATCTTCTGACCACCTCCTGATGGAGCTACCTGCGGAGGATGTGGAATGCCATTGAGGCCATGCGGAGGTGCTTCATACGGATGCTCTGATGCGCCTGTCTGGGCCTCCGCGACCAGGCCGTTCCGTAGCTCATGTGCAGATGTCGGTCTTGATGTAGTTCCTCGTTGTGACTTGTCCACTTCATCATCGTGTCGTAGCAGTGTCTGTATGGACGATACCCCTCTCGAGTCCCGTCTTGAATTAAGATCTTGATCCTGAGTTCGTCCATCCGAGTCCCCTCGTTCTATCTCTTGAACTTCCTTTTGAAGCGACCTGTACTTCCGCTCTTCATCCTCAATTGACTTGATAGCATGATCTCGGTACCTGAAGTACAAACGGTTGACTATTTGAGGCAGTAGGTGGTTGTACTGCAGAGCCTCGTCGACAGTCTCCAAGGGCGGACTTGACAGCTTCCGCTTCCGCGGATTGGGTTGCTCATTCTTCTGAAAGACCTGATCACGCCCTTTAGCTTCGCTTTTTGCCTCCTCTTTCAGCAGGCGAAGGTATAGATCTTTCAAGGCGTCCGGCTCAAGACGGTTGAGCTCGAAGGAATCGCTTTCTCGAAGAAGCTCGTTGTTCTTCAGGGTGTCGGAGATCTTGCCGAAGGAGGGCGGATTGGCAGTGAATGGATGTAGTGTCTGGAAGAGCAGTAAGGTCTCGAGAGGAGTGTGAACACCGGGTGCCATCATCTTCCATTCTTCGTGGACGGAGCTGTCGCGCAAGCTGATTCGCTAGAGGGGTTTCGACACTCGATCAAGGCACCCAAGAACCCGATCAGTCGGGCTTCGGTCTGCCTTATATAGGTAAACTCCACTCCTCCTATGATGCACCAAAATCCTTCAAACCTCAAACTCTAGTGACGGTATTCTTGGTCGCGCGCCCGTTAAATTGACCTTTCCTGGAGAATTTATGCTTAGTCATAACAAAGCCTTGGCATTTCGAGAAACCGCTTTTGGACGCGTCCGACTATAATGTAGAAGGGCCGTACGGAGAGAGAGGGAATCAACCTGAGACATTCTTGGATCTGCTAGAATAACTACTACCCTAGATAACTGCGAGAGGTGAACGTTGTGTTGATATAGCTCTGGTTCTGACACTACTTTGTTTTGACACTACTTTGTCTGAAATACCGGACTGCCACCATGCTCCAACAGATTGACACAAGCTGACAGCTACATATGCCGTACACAATAGTCATAATGGTTCTATCCCACGCCGTCCAGGGTTTCAGCTGGCTCGCCGATGCTGCGTGAGTAGGCTCTGGAAGCACAAGTCGTTTTCTTTGTAAACGCTATCAGCGAAAGCGCAACCCATATCAAGGCAATCGTCCATCTTTCATATCCCCATTCTTTTGCTTCAAGCAGCGCTTGCTGTCCCGCCCTGCTCGGCCCTTTCGCCTCCGATGGGGTAGAAGCGGTTCTCCAGCCGTAATCGGCTTCTTTCAACCTTCCTTCAACTCGCAGTCTTCGCTCTTTGCGACGTGAGCACCACCGCATAAAGCGCATTTCAGGCATGCTTTATTGGCAGAGGGATCATGGGTGCAAGCTGTCGAAAGATGCATCCGAGCGCACGCGTGGCAGCCAGACGCTGAAGAGCAATCTTTGAAAATATGACCATACGCTCGGCAGTTGCGACATTGTGTGATACTAGGATGTGGTCCCTGCCTTCTGCAAAGACGGCGCTCATGACTCCAGAGAACTTCCGGGTTCGATGGCCTCATTAGCCTGCTGGGCAGTGGAAAATGTGATCGTGACTGATGTATACTCGATTGGCTTGAGACCGATAACCTTCTTGTTCAGCAAATCCCTTCGATATTCGCTGGAGTTTTGAGAGACTTGAGAACAGATTTATTGTCATTCACCAGCGTTTGGATTGCCGTGGACTTCTCGAAGCCCCCCAAAATGTTCATGGTACCGATTTGGACGTGTTTCACAGTGACTTTGTAGCTTCTCAACTGAGTAGTCAATACAAAGGACTCGAAGGCTCGAGGCCAGTCTTTCATGCCATCCATCAAATCTGTGTCTGGTGAACACTCCGAGCAAATCGAAAGGGTAACGCTCCTGTTCTTCACAACTTGGGCTCAGTGGAAGAATCGCTTGCGGGCAGTATTCTTTGAGTGCAAACAGAACAAAACCAAACACATCCTCCTTGTGAACGCCTTTTAGGTGACAGATCACGTCCTCATCGATGAGCTTGAGTATGTGCAATTTGGTAAGCAGGTGATTGTCTCGCTCTTCCGTTTCAAGGTTTTGCTGTCTCAAATCTGCTGAGACCTGCGATATCGTAGAAGCCATACTGGCAATAACAGTTGGAGCCGATGGACCGGGCGCCCTAAGCTGAGCGTCCTCTACGAGCCCGCGACTTTGCTGCCTAGCCGTGTCTTTGGAACGCAAGGAGTCTAGATCCTTAGGCACAGGTGTGTGAAGCCTGTATTTTCTCGAGAACCTCTTCAGATCCTCCAAACTGATACATCTGTCATACATAGAACGCTTGCGTCTCTCATCTGCTGTTCTCATTGTCTCGATATCATAGGAAACTTCTGACAGGCCAAGGATCTCGGTCTTATCCGCGGTAATAGCCGCCAGTGCTTTTGAACCGTCGAGAAGATGTGGTGGATCATCAGCAACTGCATTGCCTGCAGAGAGGCTATTTGCTGGCTCAACAGAATTCGCCCTGTCTATCGTGACTTCTACCTTGTTATCCTTTTCATCTGGATCATTTTCAATAGCAAAATGGGCCTTGTAGCCAGAGGCACCATCTGAAGGTGCTGTTGAGCATCGTGAATCTGACCAAGGCTGGTGTGCCTGGCAAAGACAGCACTTTCCGGTCTCTTGCGGCCCTTCTTCAAAAGAGATTGATCCAACAGCCCTGAGACAACAAGTTGTCGAATAAGCTCTTCCTCGCCGGCGAGGGTAGAGCAGACGCAACATTTGTCAACCGTATCCACACTCTGTCCTTCCGACTGCCTCAAGGCATTGTGAGGATCTTCTTAGAAGTCATAGGAGCCAACGGACTGCGCTGATCCAGATACTGGTGGGCTTGGCTGTGACGTGCCCTCATAGTCAAAGGGATGTCCTGATTCATGACACTCTGGAGTAATTTTGACTTCGACTCTGGAGGCCAACTTGGAATTCAGCTCCGGAAAATGACTGATAGAGGGCGTCAAAAATTGGTCGTGGGACTCCTAGAGATAGCGAGGATGACAATTCTCTGGTCAGATTCTGAGCAAGACTCTTCACTTCAAGCTCTCTGTTCGTGTTGCCTGGTAGAGTCTCCATCGTCCGGGAGACACCCTCTGTGACACGTTGGGAGATATTGTTCATCGTCCTGCAAACAGTCAGTTGGACCACTCTCCTGATGTTGCTGCACTCACAGCATAATTGCAGCGAACTCCCTCATAAGGGTAGCGGAATGTCGCCTTGAGTTTTCCGGGCAGGTGTGAGCCAGAGGCAACCTCACAAACATGGCCGCGGATTCCATCTTGGCAAACGAATGCGAAAAGGTGATGAAGACAGGAGCCCACGTATGCTCTGCTCATGCAGTATGACACGTCAGATGGTTGCAAATACTGTGGACAAGTTCCCGACTGGTGATCATGGAGTAGTTGAGGTTGTAGAGTACTTTATTTAATATTCATCATCAAGCGCTTGGCGCGCACTAGTGCAGAATGCCGTTGATGCTTTGTACCGCGAGTACACTAGACATTCTACAGTGAAATTGGTCCTCACAAAGAGCACTCCAGGAGAGCATAGGTTCATGATATTAATCTTGTTTGCTCCCTTCGAGTGTAATACTATGCAATAGGACAATCTCCCCGCCGAGCATCAGGCCGAAGAGCCAATGCGATGATTAGAAACCCGAGCAGGTAGAGATTTGCGTTTTACGAATCCGATTGCAGTCTCATAATGAGCCCTCTATCTCGGCGAGGCTGATTTGACGTCGCCATTGGCCCAGGCAGAAGGAATTCATGTGACCACGGATTACCCGCTGCAGAGACGACTGGTTGAGCTGGGACGGGAAGTTGTCCAGCTCGACTATTCGCTTTGGAATTTGCCAATGACAACATCTTCGCTCGAGGTCCTAGCCGAAGATGCAACGTAAAAGGCCCATGATCAGGGATATTAAGCATGAGCAACTGTGCGGTGGCAACGACTGATAGGCGCAGAAGTCCCGGTTTGGGGGACGATATATTGCAATTGCGCAATCTCCAGATCACCTGCTTTACGCAGACGCTACCCTCGTGCAGCCACCCGAAGGGCTAGGATTGTGATGTAGATGTTTACACGTCAGTCGCATAGTCTCCCTGGATTGCGGATATGATTTCAATGCTGAACAAGGTATGTGCTCAGGCACGCTTTCCGGCTGGCGTGGAAATCATGTAGAGTACGTTGAGATGCAAATTTGGAGCCCAAGCAAATGCCTCGAAGTCATAGGGCTGGACGTTGGGGGGAAATTTAAGGTTGCGGTTGCGGTTCACCGGTGCCCCCAATTCAGTTTGGGACTTCCAGGGCTGCCGCTTTTAGCGAGCGAGCTGGTGTCGTTGGCGTACCTCTAGATGTTCTCAAATATAGATGATCGAAGCAAATCATGAAAGTTGCGACGGAGGTTCACTTTTGGTTTGCATTGAATGTATCATAGTGACTAACTTGAGTAGGTTCCATCATAGCCCCTTCATAAGGAAGTAGGAATTGAAAGCAAATGAGTGTGGTGCACGGATATCGTGCTGCGAAACAAAATTACAATATTCGAGTCGAAAGCAAATGAGTGTGATGCACCGAAAGGGTGCCGCCAAAAAAGACACAACATCCAGAACAGTGTCCTCAACAACGGCCACCTTGTCATCAATGGACCCGCCTTGCATCCTGGAACCCATCAGACGAGCTCACCAGCTACTATGTTGCGTCTGGCGTTCCGATCTCTTCTAGCAATTGAACCCACAGTCCATATCGCGATTACCATCTTGGAACCCTCCCACACTGCACTGCCCTTTAGGATGACTACTCCACGCCTGCCCGCTGTACATAAACATCACAGGCTGCTGATCGTTGGCTCCAACTTCCACCTCGAACACATACGGAAGCTGGCTGTCAATGTCCTGGTAGCTGCCACCCGGGGCGCTGAGTCCCGTCACCGCGCCCACTTGGTCTTGCAGCGCGTCGTAGAGGGTCACGTCTAGGATGTACTCGGAGTTGCCGGCCTCATTTTTTTGGTATTGCGTTACGTGCACGCCGCACCAGCCGCTTTGGTAGCGCTTTCCGAGAGGTGAGGAGATGGCGGCGGGTTGGGGAGGAGAGGGATGGGCAAGAGCGCCGAGGGAGAAGGCAGCGGTGGATAGAAGGGCGACAACTGTGCAGCGCATTTTGGGCGATGGTAGGAGGGTGTGGGTTCGATGATAGATGTGTATTATGGAAGAGACCGATTTATGAGCGTAAGAGAAGAGGACTGCGGGTGAAGAAGCTGGTGCTTGGAAATGGAGTGTTTGCTTGGATTTGTTCGGATTTTGTCTTGACTGTGGTGTTGATGATGGGTTGAACAATGGGGAAGTGAGGCCTCTCTTATACTTGTCGGAGCTTTGAGATATGCAGGATCCTCTCGAGCACTGTCCACACCATCAACCCTGCGATGTGATCAGGTCCACCCGGCATGCACCTGGGCCTCAAACGTTTCGTAATCTCTGCCTCCTGCAACCCTACCTAATCAATCGTCCAAGTTACATATCCCTCACCGTTGCATCGTTGAATGACACGGCTGGGTTCGTTGCCGTCCGTATCCTGCACGAACCTCGGATAAGGATCGCAGAAGCTACTTGATTTGGATAGCGATGTTGATGAAACCAAACTCGAGCAAGTTTGTTGCGGCGCTGTAAGCCAGCAATTTGTCATTAACAACGGAAGAATACAAAGGAACGGTACTCAAGAAGTCAGCTACTCCACCTACAAGTGCAAGATTGTGGTACCTGCAGGCTTAGATCGTCGATCCGCATAACGATTGAAACTCCCATGACGAGGCTTCCCACAGCAGCCCCTGCATAAAAGGAGGTGGCAATTCCATCATTTGTGAATCAAGAGGAAGTATGTCATTGCACGAATCCTATACATCTGAAACATATGCTAGTCGGTACATCGAACGAGACAGAGATATCGTACAGCTGTGTAGGTGATTCTATGGCCGTTGCACCGCACATATGGCTCTACTTAAACCGTTAACGCGGGCTTCGGCCGAAATTTTCAGCTGTACAGATAGGAGAGCGGACGGAAATGGGACCCGTTGATGCCACTTATATACAGTAGATACAGAGTGGGTATACGTGTATGTATGAGGCTGGTATTCGTGCCACTCAAAAACAATAGATGCGAAGTGTGGATGTGTAAGTATGGCGTTGGCATTTGTGGATATGTCTTGGATGGAGGGTTGAGGCTGAGATTGGTCTGGTCGGAATAACATGAATTTGGATGGTCATGTAATGCGATCTCTCTTTGCCGTGTGCCTCAGATTTCAGCCAATGAAGGTGCCAAATCGGAGTGCGTAAGCTGCAAGTGCATGGCAATGCTGGAGATGCTGCTTATGCAATATGCGTGTTGCTTTCAGTCGGGTCAAGCCAAAATAACATCAGGGTCAAGCAATATCAAAAACGCACAAGCTGAACCGCCGCTTTGCATCTCATATAACTTTCAGCTCTGAGTGCTGTACCTTCCGAGAACTTTGGCTGCCTGCACGAGCACGGATATTGAGCCCAACGAAAGTGCCATCCAAACGTGTCGTCTTCGGGCACGGCGTTAATCTATCCGAGACTTGGCGTACTTGTAGGACTCTCAGCTCACCCGCTAAAGGGGTCGCGTCTGTACGAGTTCCGCATGATTGGATTGGGGGTTCACTATTATTCCTGTCCTGGGACGCAATCACGTCGAATTGTTCAGACTACGAGTAGCGTACTCTCACCCACGTTACGCGAGTATAAAGCGGCGGCACCCTAGACCTGATAGGGGGAGATATCGGGGTACATTACATACATGTGTCTTGGCAAGCCACCCCTCACATCCTGGGAGCGATGATGGCTAATCATCTCAACGGTTTCAGCGGTTACCTATTGACGACCTCTACATATCTGTAAATCCAGCAGCCCCTAAGTGGTGTACTTGGTATCCCTTCGCTGCGCATTCTTTCCCTTTTGAGCTTCTCTTTCTGCGAGCTCAGCATTTTTGGGAAGCTCACCCGCAATAAAACGAACAAGAGCATCATGGCCAACGACGAAGGAGAGTGGAAGCCCAGTGGGCGGCCAACATCGTATGACTGCTAGGCCATTGCTCTGGGCCCCTTGCTAAGAGCTGCCAGCATGATTGCAAGGGACTTCTCCGCTGATCTCAACGATGCATTCGCGATGGACAGCAACCTCGATGGCTTAGTCCAGTCAGTCCAGCTGAAGTAAGCCCCCTATCCTAGCATATGGTTCACGTCTTTCAAAGGTTTGCTGACACTAGTTAGAAAAGAAGCAGTGGATTCACAGACCCAAGAACTCCAAGCCCTCGAAGCACGCCTACGAGACACCGAGGATCGTCTGAAAGAGCGGCAGTCCAGGGATCCATCTCTGGCAGGCAGAAATAATGGCACCAATTCCATCAACAGACGTCAACCTCTTAATAATACATTCAGTGGTCAAGAGAATGATCGGCTGGAATCCTCTACTACAAGCCCACAGGCTCGGCAGGCCCCAACGTCCCAATCAGTGTCAGCGAGTACCATGTCACACTGGAGGCCGACGCAAAGTACTGCTTCCGGGACAGGTGGTGAAAATGCGCCCTTTGTTCGCCCGAGTGGGCAGGAGAATAGCCGTCACGTGCAGTAGGTCGGGACACCTCTTATAGAAGTGTACCGTAAAAAAGCCGCGGAATATTTGCTTTTTCCAGAGATTTTGCTTTTCTTTACAGCTAGTCATCCTAGTGAATGGGCAAAAAGCCGGTTGCTCATGTTGAAAGCTTCGGGAAGCTGCATTTGACCGGGCCTACTACCCTCTTACTTGCAGGTGATAGGGCTCGGGATGCTCCAAGGCATGGTTTACGAGGGCTTGAGGCTTCGATTCACAGCCTCCAGCGGAGTCCGCCCCGTAAGAACGGCCTGCGATTGAGTGACACTTTTCGTTCTCTCCTCATTGACAGCAACAAATAGATTGTCAATAAGTCTCAATGGTAATTACGGGTAGGCCTGCTAGGCATCGAGTCCTTCAAGCGTCCACTTCCTTTCTCTTACCACCACAAACTTCCTCCACCTCGGACCGAAGCAGCTTTTTCACGACGATACATGGGCCATGAAGTCTAGTGTCTTAGCAATATGTTGGCTTCATGCCTATGTATGATATTTCAGATGCGCCAGAGCTGAAAATCAGTATCTTTGTTTCTGAACACTCACTATTGCTCTACTACAAACTTCTCCCTCTTTATCACACATCATATCAATCCTTCCAAGCTTCTTCTTTTCTCTGCAATATCTTCACTTACCTTCAAACTTATCAGCATTTGCAATCATAAAACCATTACTCGCGACTCAACAGCATAGACCACCTTCGACTGGTTCGAAGCAGCGTTTTTCCCTAGATTTCATTGCATAAGATACCAGCTCTTCAGCTCTAATTTCTAGGACGAGCTTCTACAAGTGATCTAGCATCACATAGACCAGGAAGTATGCTCCGTTTGCCCAAATAGCAGGAGCTCGTACCGTCTTGAGAGCGATGACACTGACAATCCTTGAGGTCCTGCACCCTACCCAGGATCCCATTAATCATCAATTGCAGCCTCATTTCGGCATCCTTACAGCATATTACCTTACATTTTCAGGATCAGGAAACCAGCAGTCATGCCTCTTCACCGCCAAACTCACTCTGCTTCCTCCCTCTCCGATACCAACTCAAGCGGCTCCACCCCATCTCGCTCCAGCTCCTCCGAACGCTCAAGCCACCCAACCGTTCAACAACCACCCCGCACTCACCACCACCACCTCTCCGTCTCCGCACCCCCAAGCTTCGCCAACCGCACGCAGTCCGATGGGCTCACATCCGAATCCTCTTCCCCAAGCTCCTCCACGCTCGTCTCCTCCGACGAAAAAGCGCCCTCCAACCCTTCCTTCGCCACAAAGACAGCAGCAGCCACCCTCTCTCCCGAGACGAAAAAGATGGCGAAGAACCGCTCATCCGCCCGCCAACACGACCAGCTCAAGGGAGAAAGAAGCTGTCTCGACCTCGACTGGAGTTACCGCAACGTCTACGCTTCGGCATCGAGCCACGGACGACGCAAGGCGATCGGTGGCGGGAGTGGGTCCGTGGGAACGTGCGCGCTGATGTGAGGGAGGGAGGGAGGAAGGCGGAACCGAGACTCGCGTCACCGCCTTTTTTTTTTGGAGATTTTGCCGTCGTGATGGCACCGTGGTGCTTTCTTTCTTTCTTTCTTTCTTTCTTTCTTTCTTCCCGGCACCAAGATACCCCCTTCTACAACACACATCCTTCACCAGTGGCCGGCCACCGGACGGATGGATCCACGCTCATTTCAAAACTTCCTTCATACCGTCCCTTCCGCATCTCGGCTCCACGCCTAGCGCACGCCTGATCGTTCGGCCGCGCACCCAACATCGATCTTGCTCTTTCTTTCCGTCCGGGGCGCAACGCATATGCATCTACGACGACGCAGCACTGCACTCCCTGTCCGGACTCGATAGGTATCTTACTGGTATTTATGATCTATGACGCATCATCACTTTGACAGGAGCGGTCGGTGGGTTTCGGTACCGTTTGGGACGCATCGCTCTCTGGATGCTAGGACGGCAGTGGGGGCGATTTCACCTTTCAACGTACGTGGTGGTCTGGTAGGCCGTCTTCTTGAAAGGGGTCCGTGATGGCGTGAGTGGTTGTTTGGCTAGTGGACATCTTAGGGGGAAGGCGGTCACTCTGGAGCGGATATGGCATGGTGTTTGGCTTCGATAGTCATTCTAGCAGGTTTAATTTCAGTGCCGGCACGAAGTCCATTTTCCACAATATCGGTCTCAACTTTTTCCATTTAAATTCCGGCTATTTCCATAGTCAAGACTCTTACAAACAATTCCACTGCCAACCTCTCTACCTCATCCCTTCCCCTCCCCTCCATTACTACCGCCACCTCGCCCTAACTAACCTCCTCAACAGCCCTCCCACCTCCAAACACCTTTCCAACCGGCCCACTCAACCACTCCCCTGGCACACCCACCCTGCACCCATCGCGATTACTAATCCATCTCACAAAGACCGGATTAGCAGGCGCGATTTCCTCCTCAGGTGGAGACGCAGAGTCGTCTCCACGATCTTGAGCCGTGATTTCCGCTGCGGAGATTTTGCCACGGCGTTTGGGAGCTTGCTTTTTGAGGAGGCGGTTTATTGTGTCCATCTGTTGGGTACGTTAGCGTGGATAATAGGACGGATAGTGAGAGGCCGAGAGGAATGCATATGGGATTCGGAGGGAAAGTGCGGAAGAGAGAAAAAGGGAGGTTGGGTAATGGCGGGAGTGATTGTGGTGATGGGGCTTAGATCCGTGAGGGAGACGAGACGTACCTTTTCCTCTTCATTGCGCTTCTCGCTCAGGTTCTTGCGTCGTCGGGCCATCTCAGCGCGGCGCATGGCATGCTCTTCCGCGGTGAGATGCTTTTTTGTTTGAGGTTCTGCACCAACTTTGATCAGCTCCCAAGGTATCTCCGCTCCCAGGAAAGAGACGACAAAAGCGTCGGAAACGATGCATACCCATAGGTAACTGAAGAAAATCGCTTCCCACCACCTGATTCAATCTGCCCTGCTGCCTCTTCGTCATCTTGCTAACATCAGGCGTACTGCCACGACTACCAGCATCACTTCTACCCTCATCTTCTTGTTCCATGTCTACATCGTCATCTCCCTCGGCATCCTCTTCTCCTTCGGCGTCTTCTTCGTCGTCATTTTCGGAAAGTTCAGAAAGCTCTTCGTCATCGTCCTCCATCTCCATTTCCTTAGCTTCTACGCTTTTAACTTTGGCATCTTGAGCCGGTGTGACGGTTAGAGTCGGTTTTGCTGCTGGCTTTGCTGGTGTTTTCGCTGCTGGGCCGTTGACTTTGAGAATAGATGGCGGTGCAGGTAGCGGTTGGCCGTCGTCGGCGTCTTCGTCCATGTCGATGTCGCCATCAGCATCTGCGTCTTCGTCTGCACTCTCCTCTTCAGCTTCTCCTTCCGCATCTTCTTCCTCGTCCTCTTCTCCTTCACCTTCTCCATCCTGCTCCTCGTCCTCTTGTTCAATTTGCTCATCGTCACTGGCTTCTACTTCCTCATCCTCGTCATCTTCATCATCGTCGCTCTCACTCTCCACCACGTAGCTCTTCTTCGCACGACTAGATCGGGGACCGCTAAGTATCTCCGCTCCGGTCAATTGATCTCCAGGATTAGGACTCCGTGAGCTAGTACTGCTCGACATAGCCTCTCTTAATTTACTTGATGGCATCTTGACCGTAAGGCGTAGAGCCTTTCTAGACTCATCGGGTGAACTGGATTCATCGCGAGTGACTTTGACCGTTGAACCAGAGGCACCACGTCGTGGGCGCGTGGATGCTGGCGGTGCAGGAGGACTAGGATGAGATGTCAGAGTGTTGCGAGAGCGGAGGGTGCGTCGCTCGGGCATGGTGGGAGAGGATTGTTGGGGAAACTTCGAGTAATTAGGGAAGAAGAGACATGGTGTTGTAGAAGAAGGAACGCAGTGTCAAAGCGAGCAAGGATGGATGGTGATGATGATGATAATGATGGGCGCGCCTTCCGCCTTCCGCGGTGCAGTTCAAACGCGGTCTTGTTCATGCACTCTGCCGAGACATGTCTGTAACTCGAATACGGAAGCGCTACAGGGCCGAAATGCAGTGTGACGTGTTCAAATGAAGTAAAATGTAGAAGGAGATGTCCCGCCAAAAGCAAAGGTGTATATTTAAAGCGGATAGATGTGGATGATAGGACATACGTGGTGTTAGAATGTCCATCGCCGTCGATTGTTCCATCTTGGCGGTAACTCATACTCCTCTGGCGCTTATTAGGCGGCCTCTCTGCCATCCCAACAGATCCTGCTGACAGCGCAGTTCAGCCGGTTGGCCTTCCAGTAAAGAATGCACGATAGCGGGTAGCGCCCCCTTCCGCTGCAACGTCAGGCTTGAGGCACGCTTGCTTTCCGTCAAATCTGCAGCTTTAGCGTTCAAGTACCTACTTTACCTTACTTGCATAAATACAGAGCGTTCCAGTAGAGCTATCTAAAGACTCCTGCATAAATAGGTTGATGCATCTTCAAATTCCCCCACACTTCCTTGGATACCGTAATCGGTAATCGGGGCTTGACCAAGACGCTAGATTCATTTCAGCTAGCCCCACATCTGACAGGTTCGGGCCGTTTTACATTTAATGCGACGCGGTGACACCAGAGAGCATCTTATCCAAGTAGAATCTCTTACTATCAATATCACTATATATTGCTAAACGCCATACAATTCAATGCAATGCGGCCCTGGGCATGCTCTCGTCAAAACGCTGTACCTAGGACTGTTCCGAAAGTGCCGGCGGTGAAGATGCTTCGCCGGAGGTGTCACATGCATTAGGCTGCTTCCAGGTCGTTCGGTTCATAACAGCATTGGAGCATTTCTTCGAAAGGCACGTGATTTGCAGCAGCGTTACTAGGATCCTGTAGCTCTGCATTTCCGGGAGCAGGCAAGCCTGTTCTCAAAGACTCCAGCTTGTCGCGAAGCGTGTAAGATGTGGATTCTCACAAAGCGCCTCAATCATTGTTCAACAGGCGCACGATGACACTATCTTTGAGTCTCGGCATTTCATCGGCCATTGTCGCGTGATACTTAAATAGCTTTGATAAAGTCCTGCCTCTCCTGACCAGTTGTATTGCCGAAGAGCCTCAATTGCCACGGTGTGTGAAGATAATACCACCCTTTTCTCTTCTTTTAACCGTAGTCTTCGTCGTCTCTTGACCCGATGACTTCGGGTAAGTCCAAGTAGTATTGTGATCCGTAGTCAAAGGACTTTGGGGGCATTTCCTGAGGACATGGCGCTGAAAGGTCTATTTCAAGAGAATTTGCTCTTGTCGAGCCGAGAGAGGTGCGAGAACTTGACAGCTTTCTATCATCCGAGGTGAATGTTGAAGGGTTTCTAATCTTCCTATGCCAATACCTTGATTCTTGTTCTTAGTCCCCAGAGTCTCCAAAACCCGTTCCAGCCATTGCCTCGAATGGAACTTCCAAGGGATTGCATTGTAGTAGATTGGCGCTGCCTCGAGATGATCCTATCAACAAGTGAAGACGATAGGCAGTGTAGGTGTTCCCTCCGGAGCGCGTTGACTCTCTTGAACATATTCTGAGAGTATCTGATGCTCTCTCCACTTCGCAGCGGCTCTTGGGCGACATTCCGCCAACGAGTCGTCGAATTTCATGCCTCTGCTGGTGGTTGCGGTCGACGACGAACGCAAGCTTGTAGACCTCAATACATAACCAGGGGGGTAATGGAAGGAAGCCGTAGAAGTTACGGCCGAAGCTAGAAGAAGAGGAATCAGCGTGGTTGTATGAAGGGTAAGGGTGTCTGGACTTGACAAGCTGTTGTTGCTGCTACCCCCCGAAGGACGCGGGTCTGTCTCTCTCATTTCTGAGTACACTGTAACCACTCGAGATCATAGTCAAGAGCGTCACTGGCGGGCCGTAGGTATTCCATCGAGCTAACTGCTTTGTTGTTTGATGAGGGTCAAAGGCATCTAAGAAGCTCTGTCCAATCACATCTTGGCAGTACAAGGCGTGACAAATGTACCCCCCAATCACTCGGAACTCACACGAGCATGGCCGCTTCGTCCTTAGAGTATAGAAGAGACAGGCGTTCGGGTTTCTATAGATGAATGGCGAATTGTTGAATTGACTAATGCGCCCTGAGCCACGGCTCACGAGAGCGCAAAAGTTAACACTACCCCTATATTCTTAATCATTGGGAAACAAAGAAGTTCCCGCAAGCACCCCCCTCTCGAAAATCGAAAAATGAATCTTCTGGAATAACTTCACAACGATAAATTATAATTTTCTAAAAACTTTATAACTATAAGAAGATATAATAAAGATCAAAATCTTAAAATTTTGAATTATTCTTATTATCTGCTATATAGTAAGATAAAAATCTATTAAATTCTTAAGATTTTTAAATAAGTCTTGGCGATTATTGAATAGCCGAGGTAACTTTTCAACGTAAAGCGTATATTTTTAATTTATATTATATCTTATGTTAGAGAAATTAAAATATTTTAAAATTCTTAAAATCAATTATTTAGTATTATGAGAAAAGATCATAAAAATTATAGATTATAAAGAGTGGTGGTTGTAAAGATATTCAAGAAATTTCAATTTTTGGTTTTCGAGGGGGGGGTGCTTGCGGGAACTTTTTGTTTCCTACCTTAGGCTCGGAGATACAAGGTTACCTGTACCGGGTACCTTAGCCCTGCCGCTTTAGCGAGTGACCGCGTAACACCTCGACCCCACTCAATTCTCCAAAGTAGATTGTTTCAACTCCCTAACATACTTTACATGGAAGAAGGTGTAACTTACGCAATTCATTCAAACGATTACCAGTAGCCGTTAGGTAGCCGCTATCGGGGATAGATACGTAGGGAAGCTAGTAGAAATTATTGGGAGCGACGCATGCCACAAGATGCAAGATGAAGACTCTCGTCTGTGGAGCCTGCTGGACCGAGGTCTTCAACACAGAAGCGATCCAGAAGTTCTGGGTACAAGAGAGCTGCGACTTCTGCTACACCACCACATGGGCACGGATTGCCCAGTCGGCTGGAAATGCGTGCAACTGGTGCGGCTTCTTGACGTCTATCCTGCCGTCTCCAGGCACTCCACAATGGCCCCATGCTTGGACCACAACGACGGAATTATCGGTCATCATGGATAAAGCCTACATGGTGGACAACACGAGCCCGCGAGGGTTAAACCAATGTCAGATCGACTTTTGTTCCGAAGACTTCTTGCGCGACTGGCACGTGGAGCTAGACCTGTTCGTCGATGACCCTGACGATTCTACTGGGATCGTCACCGCTCGGCCGTTACAGTCAAGGCTCAATTCAGCCGAAGCATATTCACAGATCTCACAGTGGCTGGACCAATGCGAGAACCATATGGATTGCGACGGAGTGTCGTTGTACGCGAATCTACCGTCCAGACTTATTGAAGTGGCACCAGCAGACTCACTAAGCGTTCCACGTCTTCGATCTACTACCGGATTGAAGGGGTCGTATCTGGCTCTCTCATACTGTTGGGGCTCGAGCCAATCTTATGTTCTGACGACGAAGAATCTCGAGGTCTTGACGCAAGAGCTGCAGGTGAAGATGCTACCACAGACGGTATTGGATGCCATTGAAGTCACCAGAACTCTGGGTTTCAAGTATCTCTGGCTGGATGCGCTATGCATCATGCAAGATTCCGCCGAAGCCGTAGCGCGACAAGACATGGACCACGAGCTTGCGACGATGGACCAAGTCTACAAGAACGCTACTATGACCATCGTCGCAGCGTGTGCTCCGTCCGTCACAGATGGCTTTCTCAAAGACCGGCCTGGGTCAGGACAGAGCCGTTTCGATATCCCATGCCGACTCGGTCCGGAGCAGTTCTTTGTCGTCCATATCCAGGAGCACAGTATGTACGATGACATGAGAGAGCCCATTAATACAAGAGCCTGGGCTTTTCAAGAAGAGCTCCTTTCCCCACGCCTGTTGATCTACGCCTCTCACACCCTACAGTGGCAATGTCGCACGCTAACATGTAACCTGGGCGGATCCTACCACGCTCCAAATCCCAGCGCTGCCCCCCGCCTGCCGTCTCCGCAGATGTTGCTTCTCGAGGGCCCCGAACGAAACCACAGACGCGATCAACTCAGCCCCAATATCCCCCATGCCATCTTACAGCATTGGCTGAGAATTGTGACGAGCTATTCAATGCGCAAATCCTCTCTACCCAGCGACAAACTAAGCGCCCTTTCCGGGCTCGCAGTCTCCTACGCGCCCATCTTCGGACCAGAATACCTCGCCGGCATCTGGGCCAGATCCGCCGTGCAGCAACTCTGCTGGCGCGGCCCGGACAGTCGCCTATTCTTCACACGACCAACGCAGTATCGAGCGCCCTCGTGGTCATGGGCCGCCCTCGACGGGCCCGTCTACTTCCCCTCGTTCCTCCAGACTTACAATGCCAGCGTGTGCGTGCCATATCATCGCTTCGAAATCGTCGAATGGCAGACTCGGCTCAAGGCCCCCAACCTTCCCTGCGGCGAAGTGATGGCTGGGAAGCTGATCGTCACAACGGTCTTGAGAGACGCCACCTTCGATCCGTCAAGCTCGCCCGCAATACGCTTCGATACAGCTCTATCGTATGCTGATCCAGGGCCAATAGAAACCGCCCAAGGCAATTCCGACACGGCCGAAGACAATTTCACTAGAGCTGTCCGCTGTGTCGCTATTTACCGCAGCAATAGACCCGAGTCCCCACGAATCGGCGGCCTGTTGCTCGTAGAGTCTTCTGGGCACAACGGCCTGTTTCGACGCATGGGCTCGTTCACCGCCAATATTTCCACGTTCGAGGGTTATCCGCTCGATACTGTCAGCATCCTTTGAGGACTTGTACGGGAAATAACTTGGGAGGGGGGGTGGGAATTGTTGTGGGCTTATGCCGCGTTTTTTATTAGTGAGCATCCTTTGGTGACAGCGCAAAAGCCGTTTTTGACTCTATTAAACTTCTGGTTAAATAGAAGAAGGCTCGGCAGCTCTCTGTAGATCTGCTATACACTAACGAGCTGCTCAGCTGGAGATCGTAGAAAAACGTATGGGTTTCCGGTCAAACGGTCATCCGAGACGCAATCGAGGGTGAGGTTGGCAGTAGAAGACCATGCAGAAATCTGCCCCTCGCTCATACCTTGCAGTACCTTAGCTCTATAGTAGGGTGCCCACACGCGGGTGACAGAGTACCTTAGTCCTTACCTTACCTTAGCTTTGCCGCTGGTAAGCGAGAGAGCGGGGGTAGTGTAAGACCCCACTTTTGGTACCCTGGGGCTATTTAGCATTGGCCATGGGTTGAGGGTCTCAAAAATGGTCCTGCCAGTGAATCTGTTTTCTACGCCGTTTCTCCGCGGCTTCTTCCCCGCAATTCGGAGCGGAGATAATTGGAGAATAACGGCCGCTAATTCTATACAGGCAGCTGAGCATCCGAGCCTCTGGCCTATGTCCTCTACCCTATACCCTATGCCCAATGCACAAGGTGAACCCTCGGTATACCTTCTTCAAAACCATAGGCCAGCCTCTGCAATTGGCAGTCTCGGACGAAGCCTGAAGGATTCCTTCACCAAAGATGGCTGCGATCGCCGATGCTATTCTCGGCCTGCTTAGGCTGACCTTAAGATACAAAAGGTTTCTCACCGCCTTACAACCGAAATCCAATCTTTGTTTTCTTTGAGCCCCATACATATCGCATCACGTCTTCCCGACCTTGCTTCAAGACTCTTTTGATCAATTACTATTGGCGTCGATACCATGATTCAAAGCAATAGCCAGATCGGTGTTCGGTTGCTGCCTAATACCTCCTGTGTTCGTTTCCCATTCCAATTACTGTCTTCGCTGAGTCCCTTCCACCTATCTTTGAATATGTGTGCGTTCTCATCAGCTGAATACTCAATTTAAAAGTGCGGTGAACTTGCCCAACTACTAGGCCCGAAAGTCTCCTTTGCCAACTCATCCGCCTATCTGGCAACTGAAAGAGCATACTGGTCTCTTCAAGAAGCAGACCTCTCACCGACATGCATCGTAGTGCCATCAACAGCAGAAGATGTATCCACGACCGTGCGGACGATTGCCGGCAACCAAGGATGCCCATTCGCCATCAAAGGAGGAGGCCATGCGCCACAGGCTGGATCCGCGAATATCGTAAGTTACATTTTCAACCACATTACTTCCGTGTATTCTACTCCCTAAACGTATCTTACAACTCAAGCTCTTATCTGGAAAGAGGAATGCTGACTGTGAATCCGTTCAGGATTCAGGCGTTACGATCGATATGACCGGTCTGACGTCGGTGACGGTCAATGGAAATAAAACGGTCGCTAGTGTTGGCGCAGGGGCATCTTGGTTAGATGTTTATCTTTACTTGGATGGCCTCGGTATTGCGGTAGCTGGGGGTCGAAATGCTGCTGTTGGCGTCGGCGGATTTACACTTGGAGGTCTGCCATTCCTTCTCTTTCCACAATTTCGCCCAATATTGACTTGTCCCTTTGAAGGTGGTATTTCCTACTTTGCACCGCGAGAAGGATGGGCATGCGACAACGTTGTGAATTTTGAAGTAGGTCCCTTGTGCGAACTTTGTCTAAAGATGCTGCTGAGCTAACAGTCATAGATCGTTCTCGCATCCGGCGCCATTGTCAATGCCAACGCCAAAGTCCGGCCAGACCTCTGGCGTGCTCTTAAAGGCGGCAGCAACAACTTCGGCATCGTCACTCGTTTTGATTTCGAGACATTTCCCCAGGGTGCCCTATGGGGCGGTGCTCTCACACAGTCCATAAACAGTAGCGATGAAGTCTTCGAAGCCTTTGCGAACATTGCCTCAGCGCCTCAGTACGACCCTTACGCCTCTCTTGTGACCGGTCTTACCTTCAACTCTACAAGCCAGCAATGGCTCATCGGGCATCTGGCCACGTATACCAAACCGGTGGCAGACCCTCCTGTGTTTGAAGGGTTGTTGGCGATTGAACCGCAACTTCAAAATACCTTGGGATTCACGAATCTCAGTACCTTAACGAATGAACCGGGACTGCCTGTACAACTGTAAGCATCAACCGAAGTCTAAATCCTAGCCCCATCACTGGATCTGGTATAAGGATCCGGAGCGATTCCAGCTGAATGGAGACTTCACATCGAGTCCCTTGGAGCTGACATGCTTGTGTTTTCCCACAGTAATTCGCTCTTCTACACAGCGACCTATGGTGTCTCAGCCACACTACTTGCCAAGATCCTCGACATAAGCAATGAGACCATTTATTCCACCTATCCTCGAGTCCCAGGCGGTATATTATGGAGTCTTGCCTTCGAACCATTACCTACGCAAGTGACAAAATTCGGCCCATTAAAAGGTGGTAACTCGCTGGGCACAACACCTGGTGACGGCAATGGCATTGGTAAGTACCAATCCCCGCGCTTTGAGTGAAACCCAGCATCCCATATATAGAATGCAGAAGCTGAAAATTGGTGCTTGCAGTACTTCTCCTCAGCGCCTTCTGGGCCTCCACATCCGCCAATGCTTTCGTGCAGCAGACGGCTCACAGGATCATGCAGAAAGCGAACGAAACGGCCAGGGGTATGGGGATGCTGCATAAGTTCGTATACCTGAATTATGCGAATCAGGACCAGAATCCGATATCGACTTATGGACGAGAGAACGTGGCGAATCTGAGGGCGACGGCGACGAAGTATGATCCGCGAGGGATTTTCCAAAGGCAGGTTCCTGGCGGTTTCAAGTTGCCGGTTTAGGTTCATGAAAGCGTATTGGGGGGAGAGAAGGGGAATTGGACGGGGAACGGGTGCGTCGATGAAGAAATAACCGTTCGTTCTCATAGAGGAAAGCAGACTGCACAACTGAATGAAGCTGCACAGAATCGTCCTAATCTTAAACGATACTGTTGTACTTTCACGTAAAAGACCGCTTTGTTATTGAAGAAGATTTCCCGACGACTCCCAGCAGGAACAACGTCGTTACAGATGTACGACGACGACGAAAAGTGCAGTGCTATACTTCTGAGACTACAGTCTCTCTCTTTTCTTCCCCGTTACAGCTTTCAGTCCGACTCCATCGCGCGCCAGAATGGCGCCAAAGAGCACAGATGCTCTCGAGACAGATCATCTCCTTTGACAAAAGGTCATCAGAAACAGAAACATCACAGACAGGGTGCAAAGGGCGACTCCAACAGAACAAAACCCCTTCGTGCCAAGAGCCGTCGCTGTCCTCCACGCGCAGCATTGCTCATGTAGCCTCTGGCTCTCTCCCGCCCTGTCCATCACCGCCCCCGCGCCATATTCCGACATCAAATACTCCACAACAGCACGCACGCCGTAACGCTCCGCGAGCTGGAACGGGGTCCGTCCGTCGAGATCCCTCTGCTCCAATTCCTGCCTCCCGGCAAGCGCGACGACTTTCCTGACGGCGTCCAGGTTGCCGTGGAGCGCCGCGTGATGGAGCGGACTTCGCCGCCGATGGTCCCTGCCACGGACGTCCAGTCCGCCATCTTTCATGACATCTATGATCTCCACTCTTTTGCTTTCCGTGGCGCAATGAAATGCCGTTTGGCCATTGCGGTCGGTTTGGTTGATGGACGGGGATGGTAGCAGGTTGATCATGTATTTTGCAAGCTCTACGTTTCCACGTCGCGCGGCAAAATGCAGGGGCGTTCTGCCTTCTTCGTCTTGTGCGGCAAAGCATGATTCATCGACCGGACAAGCGTTGATGTCCTTCACGGTGGACCTGCTGGACCACGCGAGGTAGTGTAAGGGCGTTCGACCTCTACTATCTTTGGTGTTGGCTTCCATGGATTTACCATGGCACAGAATCACTCTGCTGACAGTCTCGTTGAAGAAGGTGTGCAGTGGGCTGCCGCCGTCGATGCTGGAGCTGTTGATGTCGGCACCTTTGTCGATCAACAGTCTGGAGACGTTGTAGTCACTCGAGTGCGCTATGGCAAGGTGGAGAGGTGTTCTAGGACGTTCGTAAGATTACCCTTCCGATGGAATGGGTGTTGAAGCTTACTCGCCCTCATCATCCGTCGTACTTGCGTTCAGTCTTTTACTCAACAAGTACTCAATCAGCTGGACACTGTTTGTTCGAGCAGCTACCTGTAATATATCAACCCAAAACCAAGGATTCGGGTAGGTGAGTGACGAACATGCAATAGACTTGTGCCATCAGACATCACGTCAGTGGGAGACGCTTGCCCGGCCTCGAACATGGCTTCCATACCGGCAAGGTCTGCCGTACGGGCTAGCTTCATGATAGGAGAAGAAACGGGTACTACTCTCGGGAACGATATATTCCATTGCAACGAGAAACTCAGGTACTGGTATGACTGCCTCACGGCAAATATAGCAAGCGTGATCCTACCCAAGTAGTGCCATGGAAACTGGATTGTTATGCCAAGCCCGTAATAATTATCAGAAGGTACCTCGTAGATCTCATCAAAGTCCTGTGAGAACCGCTTCACTACTAGCGGACCAAGACGCAGGGCTAAGGCGGCATATCCTATTTGATACAAGTATGTGTAGTCACACTTGATCGAGGTAGGTTCCAAATAGCTCTCTAAGAAGGATCTCAAGCGTGCGGAATTGGGGAGTCGTTGAGGCCGCTGACGCACCGGCTTCGGGACTTGTACTTGAGCCAGAGGCCGCGCAGCTGTAACATTGATACATTGACCCATTGGACTGGCCAGCTGGCTATGTACGACTTCCTGCCCTGTGGCTGTTGCTATACCTCGGGTTGCGGACGGAGTCGATGCACCACTACTTGGCGGTAAGCAGTATTGCTCGTCCAATTCCTCAGATTGATAAGCTAACTTGGGGGTTTGATTTGAAGACGCTGATTTGGCTTGTGGGAGATTGATGTTTCTTGTCGCCTCATCAGCCTCAGTATGAGAAAGAGCTAGGAAAGGCCGCTACAAACATCAGGATTACCATAAGCTCCGTGGTGAAGATAGAATGATAACCTTGGACACGACGAAGGAAACTGGCAAGCCAGTGATCCAATGACAGAGACCATTTCATCTTTGTCCACGTTCTCGTGCCTCTACCTTTAGCAACCTTCTTGCATACTACCGGAGCTTGGCCTCAGCATATAGATTCAGTGGTGGGGCCATTAGCTGTTATGTAGCTGACGGAGAATAAAGCACGGCTATCTATGGCTAACTACATGAAAGGAACAATGATGGAATTGCATGGAAGGATGTAGGAAGAACGCATGCATAGAAGGAACTAGACACGCTGACAGGTGGGAGTCAGTATCTTAGCTTAATCAGCGCGGTGACGTTGGTAAATAAACCCCTCCATGCCTATTCCACCATCTACTGACTCGACTGTAATCAGGCTCATACTATAGGGGCACCCTAACAGCCTCACTGGGAACGTACTCTTCATGAAAAGGACCAGTTATCAAGTTAATTCTTCTCCTACCCATCATGTCTTCAATGGATCTATACAACCGCCTCAATGAGATGTACAAACATTGTGATGGAGAAAATGGAAAAAATTTCATTTCCCTGGAAGATTTAGATGGTCTTATCACTGAGCAGAGAGTGGAAGCACACCTCCGCTCCAATAATCGCCTCCATCGCAGATTTCGAGAGATTATTCCCATCCGACCCAGGTTGTTCGCCATCCTGGTTCTACTCGAACGTGAGGAGAACTTGAATGCGATCCTCGAACACATTCCAGATGATAGCTTTGTCTACAGCAATGAAGAGGATGTGCCACAGGAGATTGGGAATCGCGACCAACGAGCGGATTTCTTTGACCGACAATCCCATTTCCCTCCTCCACTAACGCGCGACTTTCCCCCTCGCATATTTCCGGCCACATTTCGGCCTCCTTTGGTGGATCGGGCTGATGAGATTCGACATGGGGCTTACGGCATCGTCCGTCGAGTAAAAGTAGCCAAAGGACATTTACCTGAACATCACCCGGTGAGACTGCGGCCCCGAAACAGAATAGGACTCTGGTTGACGGTAGAACAGGACGGAAATGAGTATTTAGCGTGGAAGAGCATTGAAACAAGTATTTCAGAGACCACGAACGAAACTCGAGAAGAAGTCAAGACATCGAAGAATCGTCAACATGAGCACATCGTACCTTTGGTGGCTTGCTACGAGACACTGGCTCGAGACACACGGAGTCAGACTCTCCATATCCTCTTCCCTTGGGCAGACCAGAACATGGCCGAATGGATTCGTCGTCCAATTAATCTAGGACTTCCAGACGAGCCACTGCACCGGAAGGAATACTTGTATGACAGTATACTGTCAATTCTCTCTGCACTTGCGTACCTCCACAGTGTCATCGATCATACCTTCGCTTCTCATCACGACCTCAAGCCTGAGAACATACTGTTGTTCGGCAAGGTATGGAAGATCTGCGACTTTGGCAAGTCACATATTAGAACCCTTGAAGAGGGGTCCGAGACGAGCACTAAACACCTCGGGACTCTCAGATACCAGCCACCGGAGTATGATAATCCGAATATCAAGCATGGGCGGGCTTTTGATATCTGGTCAACGGGCTGCATCATAGTAGAGCTTGCATTTCTCATCGTCTATGGGTGGGAGACTCAAGAATGGGAGAAATTTACAATGGAGATAGAGAACGAAAGTCGGCCGGTTAGAGACGATCGGAGAAGAGATAAGTCGTTTCGTAGCAATATGCCAGTGGTAACAAAATGGATGGAGAAACTAACGCGCGAAGATGGAAGCCGCAATTTCACATACCTGATGAAGATAACATCGGCAATGCTGTCTCAAGAACGAGAGGCTCGACCGTATTCTTGGGAAGTTGAGATATATCTGCACGAGGCATTTTACTCCAGTGAGAAAGGTAGCGATCGCCGAGCCAGAATTGAGAAACTTGTCCAACCACCACCGGAAAACTTCCATGGACATAATCCACTAGCGAGGGCGATTTACGAGAACAATTCGGACCTGAAGGATTGCTTGCAGAAAAATGGCTGGAGACTTGAGCTATCCAATGAGGCAGATCCGTTTGATGCTGATTCAATGAGTGGGGCTGCAGATGTCGTGAGCCTGCTCGAAGACTTCAGGCCGTCCTCCAGCCAGATAACTCAGACGTTTCTTCACGAACTGGGCAAGGTGGAGGACGAAGGAGAAAAACATCGCCGTAAGGTTCTGGCTCAAGAATTTGCCAAAAGGTTACCTCCAGCTCAACTTACCTTTTTTGAAATCAGGGACGTTCTAAAGCGGAAGTATCCTGTGGACCTAATGAGGATACTGGCAGGTGAAGTGGAAGTGAATCATATGGACGGTGATAGAAACACCGCCCCGACCTCGGCCGCCCGGGTGTGTGATGTAGTAGCAGTCGATGTTCTGCTCCGATGTGAAGCCGAAGTCGATCCAGTGAACGCCATGTCTGAAACGCCTCTCCTGTTAGCCTCAAAATTAGGCCATACTCCTGTGGTTCGAAGACTGTTGCAGGAGCAATTAGATATCAATTTCAGAGATCACCATAAGCGAACCTCATTGTTCTATGCGGCACAGAGGGATCGTTACGAAGTTGTCCGCCTTTTGCTAGACAAAGGAGCTGACCCTGATGTCAGTAACAAACAAGGCAGAACCCCTTTGTCAATAGCCGCTGGATTTGGTCACGCTTCTGTGGTTGAAAGACCGTTGCAGGAGGACTTAGACATCAATTCCAGAGATGATCATAAGTCAACCCTATTGTCCTATGCGGCACTGATTGGACATTACGAAATTGTCCGCCTTTTGCTAGACCAAGGAGCTGACCCTAATCTCAGTGACAAATATGGCGGAACCCCTTTGTTGTTAGCCGCTAGATGGGGAAAGAAAGAAGTCTTCGAGTTACTCCTAGAATGCCCGGATATTGGCAAATCACTGATCATAGATCGATTCGGGATGTCGCCTCTAACGTATGCTGTGGCCGAGGTAAAGCATCGACAGTGGAAAGGAGAGTCAAAGGATAGTCTTAACGACTATAATCCCATCATTAGGAAACTCGAGAAGCTGCGAGACTCGACTGATGAGAAGAAAGTCGAGGAAAGGTTCCAGCAGAGGAACACGGAAGATCCTCGATAGACCTAGGAGCAGTACAACGCAACTTTCGCTACCTCGATGGCCTCCAGGACCTCCGAGATCTCCAAGTGCTCTTCTGGCCAAGTCCGCTTCCGGTACGCTCGAAGAGCGTAAGATCTGGAAGGCCTTGCGGAGCTATTTGACAAAATTGAGTGGCGGGCTCTTGTTCCCAAGCCCACAGGGGGGACCTCGGATCCTGTATCCTGTTTGGAGCGGAGGGTAATAGGGTAAGCAAGTCAGCATTAATGAAACTCGTCTGCGAGGGACAGGAGTTAGGCATTGCACATCGATACGATCGTTACACTTCAACCTCCCAACAACACTGTTAGTGCCATTGTAGAATTTATTCCTCATCTCGCTTTCGCTCTTACAGTATACTCTATTACCTATTTCCTCACAGCAAACGCACCTTCTCTTCTTACTGATTCCCCCTCCCATTTCATGCCTTTGAGCGACCTGCTCCAATCTCTGAAGTTCTTTACATCCTCCCACCAGGATCTCCAACCCAACTCCCGTCCTTATCGCTCGCACACCAGCACCCCTCAACGCCTACAACAGCTCCTCCCCCCCTCAATCCTTTCTCTCTTGTCTCTTTTCCAAGAAACTAACCCTCTCCCACCACATTCCGTCCCCACTCTCCCATCCCTTCCCTACCCGAACCGCTCACGCTCACCTCCATCGATCGCAACCCTCGGTCTCCAAAACGCAGACTACTCCAACTTCTCCGCAACGCTCACAGCCCTGTGCCGCAAAAGCCCGAAAGCGCAGACCCGCGGCATCTCCGGCGCAAACAACACAATGTGTGGCTTGGGAGTGAGGGTTGACATTATGGACGACGGCGGTGATGCGGCGGCTTCGCCCGGGCAGGGCGTCACGTTCCGGGGGGTGAGTTTGCTGGGTTGGGCTTTGGAAGACGGCGGGTGGCGGGTGGAGAAGGAGACTGTGGATGGGAGAGTGATGGAGGAGGAGAAGAGGGAGGGAAGCGCGTGAGCATGGGGGAGGATGAAAACATTTGATAAGAACTCCCATTTTGACGTGCGGATGTCCTGAGGTTTTCCGGTCCAATGTGTGAAAGATGGCAGTACGTACTGTTCGTCCTCGCAATGCAAGAGTCTCAACTTATCCCCACCTTGGACCGCACCGTGCTTCACCCGTGGGTCAAACCTTCGTACCCTTGTGGACCCATGCAACATTTTCTTACCAATGCTGCATTTCTCCACCCCATTCGCGAGCGTAAGGTGTTCCGATGGCGGACGGAAAGATGTGGTCTGGGGAAAACTTGGGTTGGGTGCTAGACGCATTGCCCTTGCGAGTCGACGAAGACGCTGGCCTGAGGTTGGCCGCCGTCAACGACAATCTCTGTGTAACCGCTCGTCAGGATGGGTGGAAGAGAGGGTCGAAGCGGCCGGCCGCTGAGTCAGAGATTGTGTCAGGGATGAGCTCGCTGCCTAAGATGGGATCAATCAGGCATGCCGGAAGGCTCCCGTCGTCCTTCTAAGGGGGTTACCTATATCCATTGGTATCATTGACAAAGAAGACTCTTCTCACAAGATCAGGGGATCTTACTGCGTTCACCCTTGTTGTTGAGGGCGCGAATCTTTTATCCTTTGATGCTCGGGTGACAGAGTCTTGAAAGTTTCCGTCTTCATGACAGTGTCATTACTACTACTCGCATTTGATAGAGGGGAACAGTCGACTGCTTCTGAAATCCAGATATTTGCATGCTTCATTATTGATTTCTCTGGGAGCAAAGAGCGGTCAGTCACCCTTTGCTTCTTGGAAGGTTGCATGCTTAGGTTATCCTTCTCCGTATTAGCTTTGTCTCCCGAGTTTGCCCCAGTCATACTTGAAAAAAGTTCGAGTGAAGCGTTAGCGCGTCAAGCGCGCTTGTCAACACTTGACACTTACATTACTTTACATTGCTTCTTTTCCCATAATCCAAGGCCATCACGGAGGTGAGAGTGCAAGACTGCAACGTACCTAGGTTGGGTCAACCGGGATGTCTCAGCCACCTGAATCTACGATGACATTCTCACTCACTACCAAGAAGCCGAAGCTAGCTCACATCCACTCTAAAGATACAGACGAACACGTCAAATCTCTCATGGGAGACTTTGAAGCAGTCAACGTGTGGCTGCAGGAAAATCAAGATGAATGCTCCAATCATCCGATGAAGAGACTCAAGAAAAACATCGCTTTGGGTGTCAAGCAGGGACTTGATTCGGCCCTAGAGGATATTTCCCAAGACATCCGGCAAACAGTGGGCAAAAAGTTTGTGAAAGGAGTCATCGAGAAAGAGATTGCTAAAGAACTGTCGAAAGGCTTGTCTATAGGGCTACCAAGACTCTTGTTCGACAAGCTCCACAATTCATACAAAAACCTCAGTACAAAATTGACGGCCGAGGACGAACCTGCTGGAGGCCACAATCAGCGTCTGCGCGAACATGTGTCACGAACGAGTTCCGCTTTGATTTCCAACAAATCTGTATCAGAAAAGGTTGCCAGCCAAGACGAGGAACAAACCAGATGGCCAGACGACGGCGGCATGCGAGGGTGGCGGAGAGCCCCCTCCGAAGACTCGGAAGCTTCCTTCGAAATACCTGAAGAGCACAATGAAGGGTCGTTTGATAGATGCTGTGTCTGTACTACCCTGGCCAGTGAAGAGGAGCTTATAATGACGACGTGCTGCTCAAAACCTGTCGGATCACTTTGTTTTGAGGAGGCTTTGCAAGAGACCGGCAAGTGTTGTCTTTGCCACGAAACCCAGAACCTTTTCCCCTCGCCAGAGCTTACTGCGTTTCCTGAGCACGACTTGGACTATAAGGTCCACTTTGTCGAGGTCCAAGATGAAGCGAAGAATTCTAAAAAGGAAAATCCGGCCATATACGTCTCTGATACATCAGAGACAGGCATCGCTTGTCCATCTCAGAAAGATTCCCAACAATTCTTGGAACCTGGAAACTCTGCAGAGCCAGTGGGTCATGTCAGAGAAATGAGTGAGTGGACAGCACGAACATCAAAAGCTTATAAGCCCAATGACAAGCTAATACAGAGCAAAGGAACCCGTTCCGGCCCCTCGACTCAGCTAGGCCAGAAGTCACATGGCAGTTCCACCCATAGGAAAGCGCAGCGTCTAGAACCGCTGGGGAATGATCCAGAGGGTTCTGTCATTACCAAAGAATACGAACTCGTTCTTAGGCTATTTGATCAGGCGGTCATCAGCTACCTGAAAGACCTGAGCCGGGAGGACGTGTCGACTACGGTGTATGAAGCACTCGAGGGACGTCTTCCTCCCACCGTCCATACGACAATTCTCTTCGGGGTCCTGCTTCTAGAGAGTGGAGACGTTCGACTCAAGTATGGAATCGATAAAAGCCAAGCCCCAGACTTGGAAGGCGGTGCAGCGAGCTGGGCTGAGACTCTTGAGAAATCCGTGAGAGCTCGACTGGGAACATACACGGTGATAATGCACAATTTAGAAACCGAGACCATGGACCTTTCCGATGAGGTCATGAGAACGAGGACGATCGAGGAGCTTGTGGGCTACAATGCCTCTGCTATGCAGTATCTCAGCCGACCGGACGATATTCCGCTCATCCGCTGGACCATGGGCGGCAGAAATATTCACAATGTTAAGATAGGCTCTGTCACAATGGACTTAGCTACAGCGGCTCAAGCAAACGAGGTCATGATCCGTGGACTGTTGTGGAAAGGGCAGCGTCGGTATTGCGTAAAGCATGGGCCAAGGCGGAAACTTGTTCAGTGCAATAAATGTCAAGCCTTTGGCCACACCGCAGTGGACTGCTCTTCCCCACCTCGATGTTCAGCATGTGCAAAAGGCCACAGGTCAAAACATTGCCCTCTTGGCCTCAACGCTAGCCCGAAAGGCTTGAAGTGCGCTTTATGCGGCGGTGGGCACAGTGCTCGCGACTACTTTTGCACCGTCAGAAGGGGTGAAGAGTTACGACTCGGCTACCACTTCTATCCCATGGATGCGGGCAACGTGCTGACAGCAACTGAGACAATAGAAACGACAGCTTCTCTACTGCCAACCTCAACCAAGACTCCACTACTAGCGACAAGGTTTTCACATTTACCGAACAATGGCTGGTATTCCAACACACCCATCGTGGAGCAGAGACCTCCTTCCGCTGCCTTCACTAAATAGATCATCTTGCAGCAGCCCAACGGTCCCAAAGATGCAATATCCGCAAGACTGATTGAATCTCGCATCAGCGCCCCTTCAGACTCCATAGGTTGTGAAAGTGAGTGAGTGGAGATGCCCGGCATCGGTAAATCGCTTCGGGACAGAAATTCGAAGCTCGAGGGAACCTTGCCCGTGAACGCAGAGGCCCCAGAATGTATCCGTGACTTTCCCTTCTATGTTGCAGTGCACCGACGGAGAGCTGTGTTGGGAACCCGAAGGACTTTGAACGGCCTGGTCAACGCTGCTCTGCACTGCACTGCAGCTAGATCTGTGAGCCGCCAATCTCAGCTTGATTTTTCCAGAGGTTTTTGAATACGCTAAATGGTGAGATGGCAAAGACCTATGACTCTTCATTGCAATTGGTATGGTGTATTTGAGATGAGAGATGGAAGCTGGAAAATAGTCAAGGCTTGGCACAATCAAATTGAAAATCTTCCTCCCCTTTGAAAACTGCTTCCAGCGAGCAATACGCACCCCAAATGCAAACTCCGTTCTCCTTACCAACCACCAGATCAATTTGAATTGAAAGTTGTTTGTTTTATTCAGCTATATAGCTAAAAGCCGCCTTGACGGAGGTACCCCACCTGGAAATCTACAGGGACTCGAACCCGTAGACCACTGACGCCCGAATATATACAGAGAAACCACGCGCAGGCCTTTTATAGGGAGTCCATACCGAGTCAATCCTTCTCAAATCAACGCCAAATCAAGAAACTCGGAGACTAGCGGCAATAGCTTCAGCGGCAGATAATAACGGAGTGGCCACGTACATGGCCTTGCTTCTTACCAAGCAAGCTGACCGATTCTACTCGTAAGTACCGTGCCGATGTGAATCGGCCACTTCTGGAGGTTTCGATGCGGATGTATTTGAGAATATCCTCAGCTGCTCGCTGCATGACGCCATTGCTTCAATACCGTAGGCCATGGCTGCTGGCCAGCGCACTACTATTGCCTTTTTGTTTCCGTCGATTGCGAGGTAGCCGATCGTGCTTCCCACCCTTACCAACATCGAGGCATTTGCAGCAGCGAGCTCATGTCGATCAATCTTTGAAGGGTGATTCAAGCTCATACTAGAAATGCTTTTCGATGGTGTTGAATGCCTGTTCTTCTCTGTCTGTCTGTCCTCCTCCAGTACGCCAGCTGTACCGCCCACCATGTTTCTGGCTTTCTCCACAGACTACAATAGGCCTCGTGGAATAACGGGATCATGAAAGGCCGTTTACCCTTTCCCTTTTCTGTCAACGCGGCTTTCGGTGTACGCCTTCCATTTCGATTTGGTCTATTGCTTTGTACGGGGTTCGAGCGCCATCCTCGCCATCACGAATCGAACAAGCTCTCTCGGTGGTCGCTCTCTGGAAGAGTCGGCAGCCATCTTATTTTCAGCTACACTAGCTGCCAACGAGCCGTTTCGAAATGCTTTCGGGTCTCTTGCCGAGTCTTGAAATTCGAAGAACTCATCACGACACCATTTGACCATGCCTTCATCCCAGTCCGGGTACTCAAAACAGTTTCTGGTCTCCTAGTCCGCGTAGACATCTGGCTCGGCCTATGGAACCTCCGTCTGGCCCTTTGTTTCAACCCCAGTCTTATGAAGGTTTTCTTGATAATCGGGAATGTCCTCATCTGTGACTCTGCGATTAAACATCCTAGGCCGACCAGCGAATGTTAGATTCTGGAAGATAAATGGTTAGCTATTTAGATATGACAAGCCCGGGCGGTGACAAACAGTGTTCTTGGCAATGTTCTTGTGATCTTTGATTATATCGAACCCCTGTTTGACCATCTTGGAATCAGAAAACAATTTCACTTTTTGAAGGGAAGTTCGGGTATAAGCTGGCTAAGGAATTTGCGTTGGCAATCATGTCTTCTAACACAGAATTTCCTATCAATACGTGAAGACTCTATCAATTGTTGATTTAGTACAGCAGGCTAAGAACTACTCAACAAAAGGTTTTGCAGAAGGTGCTTTGTTGACAGGGAAGGTGTGTCATGATACCGGTGAAGTAGAGAGTGCTTGTAAAATCAAGAGTCCTTTTCGATCGTTATGCTGGATGAAAAGTTCTGCTGGAACTGGATCATTGACCATCTGTTCTTGATAGTTCGAAATATACCGACTATGATATTCGAAGGCCGGAACTACTACTGGCTCTCCATACCGATATCAGTATATGTGTTCGAGAGCAGTATCTCAATAGAAGAACACTTCACCTGCTGGGGACTGTACTATCTTAGACATTTACTACCTTGACAAGCCTTTTCACATGAAAGCGAGCACCAGATCATGCCGGTCTTCTGATACCTCAAGCTGCGACACCTGCAAACAAGCATCACGGTGGTAACAAAGAAGCCAAACTTAGAAGAGGCCCCACGAAAGCTGGAATTCTTGGTATGGTCAAACAAGGCAACAAACATGAATTAGATCAGCTGGATTGCAATTAAGATCGAATTTCGATTTCAAGCTCTTGGGATGCTGCAATGAAAAGCGAACAGCAGGGATGATCCTGCCGCTCCAATGGTTTGGAGGTAATCAACAAAATTTATGTCGTGGGCAGGAGAAAATGGTAATTGTGGAGGAGACCAGTGGGGCAACGTTTGGAATAGAGAGGAGCAACCGTCTCCAAAGGGAAGCGGGAGGTCAGTCAGAAAAGAAGAAGTAAAGCAAGACCGACAAAACATAAAGTAAAGAAAGAGGCGCAAACGAGGCACCAGAGCAGATAAAATTTGACGGAGGAGAATCATGAGGGAAACCATGGAGGGAGGACGGTGTATTGTTGAAACCAAATACGAGCTTCATGCAGAAACGATTGAGAGTTTTACTTTCCAAGCCTATGCCGATGAGCCTATAGATTGGCATATCATGATATCAAACCACATGGATGGTAGCATGGTCCAGTGATTTAGGAAGATGTTCCAGAGTCGCGTAAACTGTCAGATCTAGCGCCTTTCAGGGACCGAGATCCGAGGTTCTTCCGGTTCATTGACATATTCGAGGATCCTTTGAGCCCCTCGAGCTCTCTATTGTGCTGCAACAACAACCGCAATCCTCGTGATGAGCGACTCCGAAGGGCCCAAGTCCAAGGAAATACCCTCATGGCAACGGCAAGAACCCTCGAGTTTGCCAAAACAGTCTGACGACTCTCCATCACAAGAGCCCGCTGAGCGAGAGCCTCCAGAATCCAGAGCTCCTCTGATCGAGAAAGCTTCCAAATTCCTCGAAGATGACTCCATACGCGATGCCCCAATTGCACGAAAGAGGCTATTTCTGGAGTCCAAAGGCCTGACTGAAACCGAAATGGACGACCTACTCGAAATCCAACATACCCCCGAAGCAGCCGTCATGGAGGACTATGGGATAGAGCGAGAAGGAATCTCACAATCTACACCCCCCACTGCCCCTCAAATCCCCTCAACATCGTCAGTTCCCCAAGAACCACCACCGGCCGCACCATCAAAGGATAACCCCCCCATAATAACGTATCCTGAATTCCTCCTCCACGCCCAAAAGCCCGCCCCACTCATTACGGCCAACCGTCTCCTCACATCTCTATACATCGCGTCTGGCGCCGCGGCTACGATCTACGGAACGAGCAAATACATTGTGGAACCCATGGTCGAAAGCTTGACGTCGGCGAGGCATTCGCTGTTTGAAGGTGCAGGAGCAAATATTGATGCTTTGAATGAGAAGCTCAAGAGCGCCGTGTCAAAAGTGCCAGAAATACCACACCATTCCAAGGAGGATGATTCAGATAAAGACTCTCTAAGCTCGGACGGGGCACGCTTCTTCAACCGCTCCGCAGGCACACAGACATCACCGCATCTTTCTCGGTCGAATTCCTCTACCTCTTCTGACCCCGATGAAACGCTTTCGCCTGCCCAAGACCACACGAGCGCACTCTTGGGGATTCATAGCAAGCTATCTGATCTCCTCCCCGCAGATGGTAAGCCGACGAACCCGCTCGGCGACAGCATAAGCGAGCTACGATCATATTTGGAGAAGCTGCCACAAGCGAATTCCCTACATCTAGGCGGGAAGGCCAGGAAAATGGGGGAGATTGATGCGGTGGCGAATGTGAAGGCTGAGATCAGAGGCGTGAAGGGCGTGCTGTTGAGTGCAAGGAATTTTCCCAGTGGAGTGGCTGCTCGATGACGTTGGGCTCGCTTGGCTTTCGATCGCGCTGGCGTTTGGATCCTTTGGGTTTCAAAAATAGCATGGAGTGCAATCAGATTTGCAATGATATAGGTATACCCCTTTTTGGATGGCGGCGCTCTGCAGCAACGATTGATTGCATACACATCAAAATTTGGTATCCGTCATCTCGTTGCAATCTCGAATGCGCCCAAACCCTACCCGATTTAATTGCAATATAGGGGCTCATCTCCATAGAGCCTGCCACGATCCCAGTCAACACCTTTCCCACGGTTATATATCTGGTATCATTTTTAACAATCAAAGCCCCGCAACGAGCAAAAGCCCATAGCCCAAAGTTATTACGACCAGAAAAGTAATGATACTGGCTGGTATGCCTCTCGAGATAAAATGTTTAACTTGCAAATACCGTTGGCCGGTTTGTGGATCTTCCATCATGATAGCCGCTGAAAGCTTTGTCAATAACTGAATGGGTGAAACGTGAGAAGAAAGCAGGCTTACTCATATTCGGAAAGCCGCTGGTAGGCAGACCCATGGCCGCAGAGCACATAAGCGCGCTACCCATAACCAGCAGATTCGGATGTGGTTCCTTCATGCCAGCGCCGACCGTATGAACCAAGGGCAAAATGATCAAGGCCGCAACTGTATGGCTGATAAATGTCGCAACGACAAGGATCAAGGCCGCAAAAACGACCAAGACACCATAAAGGCTCATGCCCTCCACTCTGTCTGTTATAGCACCAGCGATAGTATGCAGGAGACCTGACGACGAGACGGCTTTGCCAAGGGATAGGCCACCAGCGGCGAGGATAATGATAGTCCAAAGGAAGTTGTTGAAGTCTTCCTTCGTTAAGATGCCGGTGCCAAAGAAGAGGACGATGGGTATGATGGCTACAACACCCATGTCGCCAAAGACATTCTCCAACTGATGCGTGACGCACCACAGTACTATAGTTACCACGGTGACTCCGCTAATGAACCATTGTACGCCGGTGAACTTGTCCTTCATAGGCCGTATTGGCACGATGGTGGTGCCTTTTCCAGGCTGGAAGGTGATAAGGAGGAGTACCCAAATGAGGAGGATGGAGATAATGCAGACGGGGAGGGCGATGAAGAACCAGATCCCCCAACTAGGTTGGGGCCGCATGTTTTGGAGGGCGATGATGTTTTGCGGAGAAGCAATGGGGGAGGCAGCGCCACCAATGTTAGAGGCGAGGGCGATGCCAAGGATGAGGGCTTTGGAGAAATGGGAGTCCGAGGGTAGGTTGCGGAGGAGTGGCTGAACATTGGGTCAGAACTCCCAGTGGGATTAATCAAAGAGGGAAACATACTTGGATGATCGAGAAACACAGTACTGGAGATGCAACGTTACTTATCCACATACTGAGGATCATAGCAACAAACATGTTCGTAATCAGAACAGTCCGCGGCCGTGTGCCCGCTTTGCTTAGGACGAACGTAGCCATCATCTTAGCAATGTGAAACTTCGAAAGTGCTGCTGCAATCGTAAAGCCTCCTAGCAACAGCATGATAACTGGCGTCCACATCGCTGCAAAGATGTACTTGGTCGCGGTTTTGGGGTCAAGTCGATGGTGCGGCTTTTCGTCTTGTCTGACTACTTGCAAGACAACGGTGAGGAAGGGCACTAAGAGTGCTGTCACGAAAAGAGGTATGACCTGGACTTGATCAGCAACCATCTAGGTGCTTAATTTTCCTCTGTCGGGCCTACCTCTGTCGCCCAAAGCAAGCTCACAAACACAAGCATTGCAAGACAATTTTGCTGCTCTGGTTTCTTCATGATTGGTACTACCAGCAGAATTGTGAAGATGACCAGGATTCCGATGAGCACGAAGAACGTTGAGCTAAACAGCCAGCGGGGGCATCTGTATCTTCCAATTGGAGTGTCAAGTTCTTTAGTACCCACGTCGTCCGGCTCATCGCCTTGTAATCGATGTTTCGAAGGATCGTTATCTCCACCAAGAAGTGTCCGTCCTAAGCCCATATTTGCAGCTTGAGCTTTTCGCTCTATACCGATCATTTCCCGCCATACGGTGTTCCTTTCCCAAACCACATGCTCTCGAAGATGTAGCCGTAACTCTCGTCGCGCACTGCCAATGTCCCCTTTTGTGATAACACCCGCGTATACCCTCTCAATATTCGTTATGTTCTCATCAATATGTTGCATGGTTTCCTGCTTGAATGGATATGCAGGAGTAACACTGTCCTTGACGTACGCACTTTTGAGGCTTCGATTTAACGTCTTGTCATATTTTTTGCAAACCTTCGAGAAGCCTGTTTTGTTGAGCTGGACGAATGATTTCAATTCGCACAGCGAAACAAATAGGCTGATTGTCCGCTTCTTCAAAGTCATGCCAGAAGCTAGCAGTCCCTCGAGTGCATTGTCACTGTAGTCATCCTGTGCTTGGCTCATCCTTCTTCTTGGCATAGGTAGTTCTCTCGAGCTTCTGACGTCGTCATGGGCGTGGCTTGCGTTGGTATCATAGGTTTTCCGCCGGCCTATGTGGCTGCCATTCATTGCCGTCCTATCGTCTGCATCGTCATCGCTGTCGCCTTCTTCGTCCCCTTCATCTATAGTTGACGCACTCATAGTACTTGTCCGCCGTTGTCTGCCACTAATCTTTCCGAAAAGGCTCCCACGGCGCGGCCTTCCATTCTTATCCGTAGCCCCATCCAACTGGTCGAAGTCCTGTCCTTCCGTCTCTGCCTCGTATGACTGCTCATCGTTCATCAATTCTCCCACTTCCCCGTAGATCTCGAGCTCTTTCAGCTGGTAAAAAGAACAGATCTTCTCCAGTTCCTGATCGAGGGCTCGCCGAAACACAGCATCAGGATCGTCGGTACTGATCAAAGGTGAGGCTTCGGCATCCTCATGGGCTATCGTAGATGACTGGTTGACGGATTTCTCAAGCTGGTATATTCTGATATAGTAGAAAGTGGTCAGCCCGAGCTTCTCATAGCCTCGATTGAGGCTTCGCCTGGGGAAAGAGCTTTGAACAGGGTCCGTGCGTACAATTTCTTGAGATTGCTGTAGGAGATGTAATGACTGCTCCAATCCGGCACCGCATTGAATTGGATACTGTGTGAGAACTTCATTTTTTCGAGTACAGAGAACTCGTGGAGCTTGCGCTCCGCCTCTTGCCTGTTTCTATTCTGGTGGTCTTTCCAGCATTGCTGGTAGAGGTTGGAGTCTTTTCGAAGGAGCTGATTAAGCTCTATAGAAGTAGTCGTGACGATTCAAGAGCTCACATGAGCTCTCGAGGGTTCGCTACGGCTCTATTAAAAAGAAACGACAGGTGATCTGACCCGGCGTGGGGGTCCGTGCAGCGTCAATGATTGGTGGCAGATAGCCCCCACAAGGGACGCCAAGATCGCCCCCAGACTGCCCGGGCAGACCCCGGCACGTTTGCCCCGGTAAGGTCCCTTGGGGCCAACCTTATTGAAACTCTTGGGTCCACCTCTAGCGTGTTTGCTTCACAGATTTGGAGCTGGAAATGTGATATCATTCAAAGAATGAAGCACTTCCAACTGATATACCAATGCCTGGAGCTGGGGGAGGTCTACCGTGAAGACTAGGCGGCTGCTCATGACCCTCCATCATGTCAACACCGACACCAAGATCAAAAATCATGCCTGGACAAGCTCTCGACGATTCTCCCCTCGCAAGTGATGTACTCTCTAGAAGTCTGTCCTCATTCGGCCCTCCGATATCGACCCTATCCCTAAACAAGGGGACCAAGAGGAAAGCAAGCAGTATGGAGAAGGTCAAACCACCTCAGGCTGCTTCACAATCGTTCCTGCCCATTAAGCTAGAGCCGGGCTCGTCACATCGTTTCGACTACAGAGGAAGCCATATGAAAGACATTCACCATGAGCTTTGTGAAATACCAACAGGACACGCGAGCAGCTCGAGTAGCGATGATACGGATGACCAAGTGCTCGAACTCCATGAGAAAGAGGGTACTTCCACAATGGGACCGTCCAGGACACCACGGGCCGCTGGAGCACGGCTCAATATGTCGTCTGGAGACATATTTGCCCTATCAAAAGACGAATCGGGAATTCATACGGCTAGTGGTGCGCTAATAAACAACTACGGGGGGACTAATGGCTTGCTGCGCCCTTTGTCAGTGGTCGACAATTCTCCGCCAACACGCTGGCAGAAAGCCTCTGGACGAGCAAAGGAACCTCGCCGTCACTCTGGGAAAAGGCTTGACGATGTGGCTTACGACTCCATTCCAGACTATGCTCCTCCGATATCAACTCTACCCAGAGGCAATCCGCACAGCCTCCGAGTCGAGTGGCGCCATAAGAGCTTCGCTGACCTCTCCAACGACCCAGACCGACATATGCTTCACGAGGCGGAACTCAAACTTGCAACGTGTCTGAACTTGAGCTGTGCAAAATATTTATGCACCAAACGTCGGATCTTCCAAGCTCGTTTCGAAGTTTTACAGGCAGGTAGAGAGTTCAAAAAGTCAGACTCCCAGAAAGCTTGCAAGATAAACAGCAATAAGGCTGGCAAATTATGCGGCGCATTCGAGAAGGTCGGATGGTTCGACAAGAAGTATTTCCTCGAGTACCTAAATAAAAGTAACAACCCATTCACGACAGGCAACAATGAAGACGATGACCGGGGAAGCCTTTCTTCGGGACTGACTGAACCCGACATTTGGGACGTCAGCGAGTCAGAATTCCATTTCACAAGCGAGGAAGACGAGGAGTCCACCAATGATGATACTGCAGACTCAAGTGTCTCATTTGATGGCGGACATGATGAGACTGGAGAGGTGAAGAACCTCGACTCGTATCGAGGCAACTCGTTGAGGAAGCAACATTATGGACTTTCACTCGTTGGTGGGGACGGAAGCCAACGAAGAGTTCTCATTGACGAAACAATTCAAACTCATGACACTTCATCTGGGAACCAGACTGTAGACGAAGCCTCAATGATCGAGGACAGAAGAGAAAGGAGAGGAGCTGTACTTGAAGAGGCAGTGTTTCCCCGGAATCCTGACGGTCCTTCTGGAGATGACAACGAAGAAGTTCCAGTGCTCGAGACCAGAAGCATGACGCAAAAGATCGAGCTTGCTCTCAACAGCCGTTCTGAAGATAAGTCCGACGGGGTTTCCACCATCAAAGCCAAAAGTAGTCAGCAGAAGTTGAGTTTGAAGAAACTTCATCAAGGTGCAGCTCCCACCAATCAATTCAGTGCACGAAACCCTGTTGACCCCATACCTCACTCTTTGGATGAAGCAAATGCTGCGGATATCATGCTTGTGAAGATGAAGGAGAAGGGCCGCACGTGGCTCGAAATTGAAGAGGCCTGGGAAAAGAAAACAGGCAAAGCGCAGAGTACAAGGACACTGTCATCTCGGTATACCCGCATCGTGGCAAACATTGCCAGCTCCGGACTTAAACCAGACGAGGTTCGTGATAGTGGTCGCTCGATCACTTACCCTCGACTTGAACCGGATGATGTGAGTGACAACGGTTCGATCACTCAACCTAATCTAAGCTCACCAAATCACGACCAGCTTTTGCTTGCAACCGAAGCTGAAATTGAGGAAACTTTCCAACGTGAGAAGGCTGATATAGTTGCTGAAATGGAAAGCAATTTTGAATCGGAGAAGTGGAATCTGGTCGCTGAAGCTATGTCACGTATTGGATCGGCCCATCATTCGGCAGAATCGATCCGGGCACAGCATGAAAGATTGAGTATGTATGCTAAAAGAGCTGATCCGAAGGACGCAGAAAATGATGACACCTTCACTGATCTGCCACGGCGAACAACCCGTGCTGTGAGCGCGAGGAAAACTGAGACGTCGAGTCCGTTAAGGCATGGTGTCGGAAGACACGACGAGGCCTCAAATGCAACCAATTTGCCTCACCCACAACATCCACGGCTGCTTCTGTATCAAAATTGTCTGGACTCCAAAGGGCAAGCCACTACAGCTATCCGTGGACAAGTGTCCGCCAAAAGGTCTCGCAAGTGTGAAAGTTGTGGCAGAAAGTATGAAAGTCAAGCAGGCCTCATCTACCACCGTGAACACCACCCAAACTGCGAGTTGACCACACCCAGGTCCTATAAGAGCAAGAAAAGAAAGTTAAACAGCCACTCAAATCCAGGACATACTCAGCCAAGGGCTGACGGCCCGTTCGCAATTCTACCCGCTCCCCGGGTCTCTTCCCCCAACCTAACGCCACGCCAAACTCCTACAGCTCTACCTCATGTCGACAGAATCGGCAATGCGCCTGCACTCGAATATGCCGATCCCGGCCCTTCTGCGGACGGGGCCGAACGCGGACGCCGCAAAAATAAATCGCAAACTCACGCCGAACAGAGTGCACGGGCGCGAAGATTGTGGGCAATACGACGAGTACTGGGTACGGACGGTCGACGTGGTGGCCCGCCGAAGGCAAGTACGATCGCAAATAAAGCAAAAATGGCAATTTCTAAAACTACGCCTTACGGTGAAACCTCTCTCACTCCCACGGTCACAAAGCAGGGCGGTCACTCTACGGAACCGTTGCCAACCCAAACAAAGACTATAAGGATCGGAAAGGAAGTCTGTCGTGACGCCAACCAGATTCAGCAATCCCTCGAGCAGATAATACCTGCAGCTTCTCAAACAGACAGTGGCCCGGGACACGACAAGCCTTCCAGGATGGTAAGCGTGTCCCAAAACCATCACGGAGTGCTCGCTGACCGGACACAGCATGGTGGAAATCGCCATACGTGTAGGAAGTGCGGGATGAACTACGCCCACAAGGCCAACCACTATCGTGTGATTCCCAAAATCGGCTCAGAGCACACGCGAAGAATGGCCGCGAACAACGCGGCAGCGGAGGCCCACTTAGGTTCTGCCATCACAGATGTAGCCGTGGAAAGTACTTCTGATATCCTACAGGGGCAGATGAACTTTGAGATTTCTTCCAGAGAGCAGAGTCGTGAACTATCGCTGTCACGTGAGGACAGAGTACTTCCAGGGGAAGTTCATGGTTAGAATAGTGTCTATTACCCGGCTGGTGCTTACAAGTATTACGATAGCTCGCAGATCAATAAGCAGATAGTAGCTAATGCAAGCGTGTCTAATGATTGCCAGATTTGGCGAGGTCGTCTCTTTCCTAACTATTTCCATCGCGCTGTTCCTGAGATGATCGACTTTAGACCCCACGGTTTGCTTTCTCGTTTCTTCGACAGCGTCTGGGTCAAGATATTTATGATTTGCGTAGCAACCGATGGTGTGGCCTAGAACTCGTCACTCGATGTCAAGATTGCACAAAAGAATTGCACATCTTCCTCCGCAAGCATCGCCCAAATCCTCCCCCCAAAAACCAAATCCAACAAAACAAGAATCAAAACCACAACCCCTTCCCAAGCCCCCCTCAAAAAACCCCCCTCCTACTCTCCAACACCTTTTCCGAAGCAGATAGTAAGATACCAACATTTACTCCCCTTCACCTTCCGCGCCCCTCGTACGCGACAGCACCGTAGGTCAAATACGTCGCCCGGGCCCCATCTCCTCCCGTCCCCCTCGCCAACCCATCCACCACACCCATCACCAGCCCTCCCAACCCCTTCACGTACGCCCATGCAAACTGACGCATCGCGGTCGCTGTATCAGCGTCGAATCCGGGCGGTGGGTCGTCGATCAGATCTCCATCGTCGGGGTCATCGGTCAAGACGGTGACGTACTGTCCCCTCAGTGGAATAGACGCTCCGTCCTCGCGCTCGTTCGGGTGGGTGGGGAGCCGGAATTGGCGCGGGGCGAGGCGGTAGCAGTCGTTCGGATCGGGCGCGAAGCGGATGTTTGAAGGGTTGGGGGGCTGTGGGGTGTCGACGGCGCGGTAGCAGTGTTTCGGGTTGGGCGAGAAGTGGACGTTGTTTGGAGACGGGCTGGGCTGTGCGATCGATGGTGGTAGAGGCTGGACGCGCTTTTCGCCTTCAGAGTCGACGGGGAAGTCGGAGTCCACAGCGAAGCGGACTTCTGATCTCGAGCGCAGGAATGGCGTTGGTGGTGTGCTGGGTGGCTTCTGGGGGGAAGTTTTTGCGGTTGAAGGTACGGTCGTTGTGCTGGTTGACGAGCGCTGTGAGTTCTAAGAAAGATTAGGGGTGGCCAGAATGGATGATCAAGTGTAGTCTACAGGCGTGCCGCTGGTAGGCAGGTTTGTTATCTTCCACATGATGGCTATTGTTTTGCATTTGCTGTGAAGGTTCTGAGAGCTGAAGGCTAGCGACGACGGGAAAGTACGACAACAACTTCCAGAGAGCAACAGTAGTGCAATTAATACAAAGAAGGGAGAGTGTAAAGTGTGAAGCCAAGTCTGTCATATATCGAAAGTGATGGATAAAGAGAGAGAGAGAGAGAGAGAGAGAGAGAGAGAGAGAGAGATGTCACTGCAGGTTTGTGTGTTTTTAGAAACGCTTAGTTGTCAGTCCAGAGTAAGGATCACGTGACAGAGTAAACGGGTAAAGGAGTGAATGGCCCCGCGTCATATCTTGTGTTGTACAAGATGTGAGCCGAGGCAAGACCTCCAAAACCAAGAGACCGACCTGACACCCCAGAAGTCTTAGGAAGGCCAATACTCTACCAGTTCAAGGCTACTCTCTCCAATAGGGATCCGAATACCTCGCTCGCTCGCTCGGCCTCCACCCTAGCCTACCGGAGGCATTTCCTCTTCTTGAGACCCACTGCTTGTCTCCGCCTCAGTCCACGGCCTAGCCTCTCTAGGCCATACCCTCTTGTACAGACTTACACCTACTGCGTCCTGGGGATTGATCTTACCATCGAAGGTAGCCTTGAAATACCCATGAGTTCCGAGACTTTCCTTGATGAAGCCACTCCTCCCTCGCTTCGTCCACAGCTGCAGAGCCTTGAACCACTGTACGTCTTCTTTGTTGAAGAACATGTACCGAACAGTGACAAGCTTCTTGTGAATCTTGTACGGGTGCCCAGTCAATATGACACGCTTGGCAATGACACGCGAAGTGGAGGCAGGGAGCGAGGTGCCCGTTGCTACCAAGCCAAGAGGTGTGCCAGGTATGGAAACCGATGGTTGGAAGAAAAGCGCAGGAACAGAACCCCAGGTGATCGGTGCGATGAAGGATGCGATGGCGGTCTGGCCAGGGTGGAGGTAGCGCAGGAACTTGTGAACATTGTTGGGGGTATTACCAGATTGAGAGTACATTGGATTGATGAAAAACCGACGAGAGCCGCACTGCAGGATCAACTGGTCTTTCGATCGCAGCGGGCTAGGATGGTCAGAGCTCAGTGTGACGCTGTAGTTGACCACTGTTCGTTTCTGCTCGTGCTGCAGAAACGAGTAGAGAGCCAACGGCCGTGTAGGATTGTGTGTTTGCTGGAGAACGAGGGGCGCGTTGCGCAAATGTACGTGAACCCGTCTGCCAGGCTGTACACCGCCCACTAGAGAGTCATTGTCGACTTGCTTCTTCGCTCTCTTGTAGTCAGGCACTTGAAGTAATCTGTTCCACTCCTCAGGCTCATGTGCTCGGTCTTCGCTCGTCTCCCAATGGCTCGTTCTCAAGCTTTTCAGGCCTCTGTACCGTGCAAGTCGTTCTCGAGCGAGCACATTAGGATGAAGCTCGATCTCATCTGGGAATTCGAGATCTTCGTTGGCTTCGATCTTTCGCTGAGCTCTGTACTCTGCCAATTGAGCAGCTTCGTCATCTGGTGACGGATCCAGAAACATCTCGGATTGGGGGTATTCAGAGGGTGTTGCTTCGGTAGGCTCTTTGGGTGTGGCTTTGTCGAACCCTTCAAGCCCGTCCTGAGGTAACGCTGCTGCTTCCATATCCAAATCACCTTCATCGTCTACTGCATCCTCAAAGTCTGAGCCAGAATCAGACATGTCACCTAGAAACCACGCCGATTGGTAAGACGAAGTGCCTTTGGGTAAACGCTTGGGTGCATCCGGCAAATGTGTCTCGTCATCTGAGAAGTAATGATGATCATCAAGAAGGACTCCTCGTTTCTCAGTAGGCGCTTCTGAAGCCGAAAGAGCATCGACATCTTTCATAGTAGCCTCATAAGGTGCAAGCTCTGCAAGGTCCTCCTGTTCTGCGTCTGGCGCCTCAAGAACCTCATCGTTCTTTGCCTCGTCAATCGCCATTTCGTCAGCTTTTCGTTTTTTTGATATAGGGAGTGTTGCATCTGTGATCTTCTCGATCTGAAAATGGCCCCAATCGCCTACTTGTACAAGCCTATTGGCTTTGAGTCCCTTTCCACGTACAACTCCCGTAACGACTACTTCACCTTCAGTACTAGCTTCAACGAGGTTGCTTGGCCATTGCACATTCTCCACCAGCATCCAGCTTCTGTCTTCTCGCCATTTGACTCCTTTTGGTGTCGTAGTGCACAGAGAGCGGATAACATTAGAGCACTCGCTTTCCGCATCCAGTGACAGAACCTTCTCCTGGTTTGGGAAGAAATGGGTAATGTAGGACTTCAAAGAGGTAACAACTTGCGGCCGCCTTCTGGCTGGTTCGACGGTGTCAAGATTCTGCACCACCGTAAGCACATTTGACACGCCTTGGCCTTCAATCATTTTGAGCAGTAGCTCTCCCTCCTCCCCAGGCTCCTCTGTAGGTGATAATAGGAAGATTACAAAGTCTGCCAACCGGCATGCATCAAGAGCAGTCATGAGGTCTCGTTCAACCGGCACGTATACCAGATTCTGCTTGAAACGATCCACTCGGACTCTCATATGCCCTTCCAGCGGCCAGAGGGACTCTGCATCCACCGCTTGATTTAATTTATGTATTGCAGCTACTGCTTTCATATCTTCACACAAGGGTACAACCGCGATGACCCTTGGTGCCCCATTCTGTCCAGCAAAGACACTCGAGGACTTGACATTTTGTTGGTGCTTTGTCTGCCTTATTTGGCGGGCTTGGTTCTTCCTGTCAAATTTGGACATGATTTGCTGATGAGGTGTCTTCCTGTTGGGCTTTGCCTCCGTGCCCTCAACTTTCCCTTTGGCCAAATCTCGAATCAGGCTCTTGGTGGCATGCCGCGACTTGAATGGTTTGTGGGAAATCTTGGTGGTGTTCCGGTGATGATGCTCTGTCAGTGGTGCCATGCCGCCACCGGCCTTGAATCGGAATGGGATAGAAGCCAGGATTGAGGATTTATGGTCTTTCGACTCCTTTGCGTTCTTGGTCAGATCGAGAAGTGTAAAGATAAACCTCGTGGTTCAATATTTTTTGTGCCCTGTCGGCGATAATCTTGGCACTAATTTTAAATCCGTCCCCGCATAAGACCAAATTTTTGACTCATCCAGTCCCTCTTCACTACATCCATCAAAGCAGCTACCGACACGATGTCTTTCTACGATGAGATAGAGATCGAAGACATGACCTATCACGAGTCCACAACCCTCTACACCTACCCATGCCCATGCGGCGACCAGTTCGAAATCTCGCTCTCCGATCTCCGCGACGGCGAGGAAGTCGCAGTCTGCCCCAGCTGCAGTCTGATGATCAAGGTTATATTCGAAGCAGTAAGGAGCAACTGGACCATCCAATCTTGCGTTGCAGAAGCTCTCATGAGGCTGAAATGTGCATTAGGACAACCTGCCTAAGGGAGATGGCGACGGCGCAACGACGGCAGCGCCAGTGGAAGTTGTAGCTTGAGAAAGAGAATCAAGGAGGGAGGCTAATTAGCTGAAATGTATCTGATACATAGATGAAGGCTTGGGATGCATTCGGCAAGCCTTGAAAGACTGTCTTCTCGCCGCTACAGCAGTATTCTCCTCGAGAAGAGGAGCTCTTGTACAAGACGCTGTATGCATGAGATGGAGAGAAGGGACTGCCGTGGTGCAGAGATGGAGAGATTGATGGATTCCAGGGCTTAGAGGAGGGATTAGCCGAGCGCAAGGCATGTCAGAGAGGCTCAGTAGCATACTACTGTAGGACTGCTATTGAATGAGAAGTTTAGGTCAATGGACATCTTCTAAGTATGGGTTCCATGTTGTCTCCTTTCTGGCTGCTCCTCCATCTCTGGCTTCCGTTTGCCACTCCCATACTCTGCGATTTGGAACATTTCCATGGCGAAAGGTATTCGAGCCGTCTGGTTCTTGCAACAGGAACGCTCTATTGACAATGCATGCCAATTCGCGCTTCATAGTCCCACGTCTGACGCCATTCTACGCCCCACTCTATGCCCTGTGTAAAGAGCCAGCTCAACTCCATCCCAGGTGCCTCACTCACCGCCATCCCCTCCCCATCCCCAGACCCCCAACAACCCCCAACCCATCCGCTCCTCCCAACCCAACCTCCCTCCTCTTCTTCACCTTCCCCTGCTCCCTAACGCCCCTCACAACCTTATCCAACCCCGTCTCCACAACAACTCCCCCCACGATCATCTCCCCGAGCGTAGCATGCAACGCCTCAAAGTTGAAGATCAGATCCAGTTCACATACATTTTCGAAAAGGCGGTCGAGGGCTTCGACAAAGACTTGGATGAGGTCGAGGAGGGCGAGGGGAGATTCCGTAGACGTGGAGATCAGGATGAAGTAGAGGGTTGCGTAGTGGCGGTATGTTATGAGGGAGGGGGTGTCATTGTGGGGTTGGGTTGGGGTTGCGGCGGCCGAGGGGGTTGTAGCTAATAATGGGGGAAGTCTAGAAGGCCGTCGAGTTCAGTAAAGATTCAACCACTTGCCAGGAAGTCTTGGGGAATGTAGGACTCGGGGTAAAGACACACGGTAGGAAGTTGCAAGCTGAGGACGAGCGATCGGCAACAAGGGTGAAGATCTCGGAGATGAGACGCTGCTGCACGCTGGTATCCTGAGCGTTGAATCAGCACTAGGTTCAAGAGATTTATGCATACGAGTTATGACTAGTGCAACGTAGAGCGTACCAGCTGTGTATAGAACTTCGTAAGGCGTGGTTGGCCTGAGTTGTTGAAGACTAAGACCGCGTTTATCATGATGTCGATGGCCCTGCTCTCAGCCGTTCTCGAAGGTCTCAATGTCACTGTGTGGTCTTGTATACTGTGGCATTAGTAGTGAAGCTTTCTCACTGCACTGCGATATCTATGCTGGGGTGCAATTGCAGAGAAGAAGCTTACAGTCCGTAAGCGAGGACTAGCTCTCTTCTCTGAGGATGCTTGACGTCTTCGTCAGATTTATGTATTCTAATAAATACATAGTCTACTACGAAAACTTGCGAAAATGATCTCTTTCATAGCATAGACTTGCAATCATTCAGCCTAGTCATCGTTTCTTTTTGGCAGTCCCTTCGACAGCGACCTCTTCATCAATTTCAGAATCCTCTTTGTTCATGTCCACATAGCCGCAGCGCCGCCTCTCGGCGTTGCAACTCGGGACCCAGTGCTCTTCCAGCTGGCAGGATGAGTCGGCCTTTGACCCTGAGCTTCAGTCAGTAGCCGTGGCGACAACCGAATAGATCCCAGCTTCGAACGATCTTTGTTCGATAAATGTTTCTGTCCTGTGCCGAAGTGACCTCAAGGTCCTTTCTTAGCAAACCTCGACAGCGCAGGCCCCAGCTCCTGCTCCTGCTTCTTCGACTTTGTCTTGGCCCTCTTCTGCCTTTCAGTCTTCAGCTCCTCGACTCTAACCTTTTGCTCGTCGATAATATTTCTTTTCCCCTTCTTTCTCATGAACTTCCGTAGGCTGCTATTCTTCCCTCGTCCCCTATTCTTTTCTTTCGCCATCAAAAGCGGATCCTCGGGCTTCCTGTCCAAATCTGCCTCCTTTTTTCGCTCAGCTGCGGAAGCGAGGTCAAGATTACCAACGTAGTCCGGGTTAAGAGAGATCATCTCTGGCTGCAACTTATTTAGTAGAGCTCTAACCTCCGCTTCTTGCCGCTGCTTGGTATTCTCGTAAGGATTGATTTCGAGAGCATCAAAGTTGGGTTCGCCAGCGCCAGGCACAATGATGCTGGAGAAGCCTTGGTCGTGGGAGACTCCAAGCAAATCCTCAAAGGGGCACCATCTTAGCGATTCGATTCTTCTCCCTTCACCGCCATATCCCATGTATGGAGATTGCACCTTTTCCTGGTCGTCTCGGTGCTTGTCAAAAAGTCCTTTCCATACTGAAGCCTGTGTTCCCCATCCTACCCCAACAAGATTCCTGTCACTGATAGCAACGGAGGATCCAGGCTGCCGTAGGAAATAGTTGTTGACCTCACGATACATCCGGATGTCCCAGACACCCATCTTGAGATCCTGTCCAGCCGTGCACATGTATCTTCCCTCTCGATCAATCGAAATTGCTCTGACAGGCCCACGATGTGCCTGAAGCTTCACTAGAGGCTCGGTTGAATTTGGACTCCATAGACCCACAGTACCTTGCTGATTTCCGAGGTGGAGGATAGCATTGTACGGTGATTGAGCTAGAGCAGTGGGTGAGCCTATTTTAGTAGGCATCTCTATCACCATTGCTCCAGTGGAAGTGTCCGTGTACTTGAGATACCCTGCATTTCCCACCGTGGCCAGCAAGAAATGATGAGGAAGGAACTCCATGTGCGTGACCTCAATGTGCTTTCTCAGACAGTGGATTTCTACTCCAGCATGATCGTAAATATAGGTGTATTTCTTCTGGGCAACCGCAAAACTGAAGACGTCAGCATTATACCTTGTATGAGCAGAGGACCACCCACAATTGCTCACTATGAAGCCACTTCGCACACCTCACCGTCTCCGCCAGTTGCAGCTCACATCCCAGCCTCCCATCCCTCCAATCCATCGTCGCCACATGCCCCTTCCTCCCCGCTAACAACAACCCCTTCCCATTCCGCGTATAATCACACACATACGGCCCCAAACCCTCCAACCTAAGCTCGAAACCCTTCTTCGCCGTCTCCACCGCCACACTCTCCTTCACCTCATCCTGTCTGACCTTATAAGTCCTCTCAACTTCATTCTCGGGTTCAAGAAACCCGGACTCATGCTCGAGCAGAATTTCTGCATCGTGCGCTTTAAGGACCGCATCTTTATACTTTGATTCCAGCAATTTAAGATTGGAGCGGAGCTTTTTGTCTTTGATGGATTTTGGGGCGATTTTTCGGCCACGGCCGTAGGTCTGATGGGCAGAAGTTTCTCGTTTCTTGAGGGCTGCGGCTTCGGGGTCGAGAGGCTTTTGTCGGGCTTCGAAAGATTTCCCACTAGGTATCGAAGGTTTCCTGGTCACGATCTCGACTCCTGACTCCATTTTCGTTGGAAAGGAGCCTCGGCGACACAGACGTGGTTTACGTGAAGTTTTTGCATACAGCAGTGCGCAAATCAATGCCAAGCATTCGGACTTAATAGGTTCTCGGTGTTAAATGCCGAGCGGCTTGGATTGGGATCATTGCTACGATTTCAGAGGCTATTACAATCATTGAACAATGAAATGCAACGAGTGTGGAGGAATATATTCAGGGAAGTGGCTTGAACATCGCTGGAGGAGACTGTTCCAAACACAGATGCACGACTGCAAACTATGCGTGGAAAACGTGGTCCGGCAGCGCTGACAGATGAATTTGGGCGGGTAAAATCCGTACAAAGTGTAGCTTTGATGGGTGGCATTGAAGAGATGTTGGTCAAGGCGTGTTGTAGGTTGAGCGGGGGATGGTTGAAATGAAGGGGGACAACCCCAAGTAAATTTGACATACTATGGGATATTTGTACTTTGTAGTAGACAGTCCACACAGAAGGTGTTTTACCCAAGCAATCAAGCACAGGAATTGTTCTTGTCCTGGAAAAGAAATCTCACTTTTTGGTTCGGTGCGGCGTTTCTGTTCTGTGCACTGACTGACTAAAATTTATACTATTCATAAACAACTCGTGACATTAAGAGAGAGAAGGCTTGTAGGCTTGAAGCTTGACCCAATATATGATACCATCTGTGGACCACTCCTACAGCCTGGGCCTCATCTTAACATACATCGGTGTCTTCTCGTTCAGCAAGTACACCTTTTGATCAGACCAATCTCTTCCCGTCATCTTCTCAGATAACTCCAGATCGAAGTTCCATAGGACTTTGGCGAGTACCATCTTCATTTCTACCCAGGCTAACCTATAACTCAAGCAGTCAGCGTTTGAGACAACATAGAGTGCAGGGCAACCCACGTCTTCCCAATACAATTTCGAGGCCCAACCATGAAAGGCTCAAACACAGCTTTATCATCTTGGGCGAATCGAGGGTCCGCACCTTCGAGCCAACGCTCTGGTATGTATGTGTCTGGGTCGACAAAGTTTGACGGAGATCGGAAAGCCGTCTTCTGGGGGATTCCAACTCGTACCTAGAGTAGTGAGCAAAAACAGCATTTAGGATATTCAGGCAGACAGGTACCCACTCCTTTCGGAACAGCCATGCCACAGACTTCCACGTCAGGCCTATCCACTTGCCGAGGGACCGAGATTGGGCCTGTTGGATGCATACGGAGCGCTTCTTGGATGACAGCATGTACGTAGGGTAGATTGGACACAGCTGCGACTGTGATGTCTCGTTGGCTTTTGAAGGTTTCTCTAATCTCACGCACGAGTCTCTGCATGACAGTGGGGTTCTTCAGAGCGAAATAAGTGGCTGAGGTAAGAGTCGTAGCCGATGTCTCGCTGCCCGCAAGCACAAGCAAAGTGGTTGTCGAATCGATATCGTCTCTGCTCAAACCTCCTGGGTAATTGTTCTGAAGAATGTGTTTCATAAAGTCCGGCCTATCTGACTTGGAGGCGATGCGTCTGTCCACACGTTCCCGGGTAAAGGTAAAACTCTTCTGAGCTTCGTCATGGACCCATTGGGGTAGACAAAATTTAACGATGGTACTCATAGGTGGGAAGTGGTGAAATACGGTGAACAGCTGGGCTGCTTTAACCCCCATGAAGACTGAGGCAACCCAAGGATGATTTTCCGCAGTCTCGAGACAATGGAAGGACTCCGCGAAACATAGATCGCCGAGAACGTCGAATGTCACAAAGTTGTACCAGGAGCAGATATCGAGACTACCATCCTGGAGATTAGGCTGATCTCGTAGTCGATCAATTAGAAGGTCACTGTACTTCTGCAAGATGTACTCTTGGCTCAGCAGTGCCCGGTCGGAGAAAGCGTGGCTGATGATCTTCCTTTGGCGGCCATGGGTCTCAGCGTCTGGAATGGTTCCAATACTGGGTACGCCACCCGGTGTCTCTAGCACTCCGAATGTAGGCTTGGGAAGCTGTGGACGAGCAGTGTAAATGTCTTGCCAGGCGGAAGACCCGATAAAAGACAGCTCGTCCGGATGCACCCGAACCACCACGCCGTACTTTGCATGCAGCATCATATTCCAGTGGACCATTCGGCCATTGAGAAGGCGCCATACGAAGGGTAAAGGTGTAGCTGCTGCGAATGTAGGTCCCGGGAAGTTGCGGAGTGGATGGAAGTAGACATTGTAGATGGCGGATAGCACCAATCGAGCAACAATGACAGCGACTGACTGCAATCATTAATCAATTTTTGGCAAGGCCAGAAGTTTGGTTGCGCTCACCACAGTGAGTATCCAACCTGCAGCCGTAGTCAACGTCTTCAAAATGCCAACAGGATTGAGGCTATCTCCCCCGCCCATGGTTGCGCTAGAAGACCTCTGGCTTCTTTTCAAGAACTTCTAGAAGGAAAGTTCCCAGTATGTGATTGCTCAACGTTGAACTCATCGAAAGGTGACGTTGACCTTCAGTCAGCAAGTATTCTTGCCGCAGCGCCGGCGCGATCTATTGGCACGCCTGATAGTCGCGCCTCTGGCCCCTCCCCAGACGCAAGATGAAGTCACTCTGGCAGCTTCAAGTCCCCACAGGCTCGGGGCGACTGGAGAAGATGACTTTGTAATAGACAATTTCCGCTATCTCCAGTTCCTCTCCCTCAGCAGTTGCTTCCCCACTATCCCGCTTGCGGATGACGGCCACAGGGTTGGGTAACTTCTTCACTTCTCCTGTTAGCCTCTGATGCTGGCCAACGT